CCAGAATTCGTCGGCGCCACTACAATCCGGTGACTACAATCAAACCGAGTTTCTACCGTAGTAGTGAATGTGCACTCTTACCAGGGCGATGCCATTGCTGGTCGGACATCCAGGGCACCTTCGCACAGATGGGTCTCAGGTGACCTGCTCCTTTTAGGTTTTCTTTTTGAACGAGGCAAATGTTCCGGATAGGTCGCAAATACGCTTGGGAGGGCCGTCGGGTTTCAGACTCCACTTAACCCGTGGCGATAGGACGACTTCTCCGCAAATCTCGTGCTCGAAGTACGTCAGAATATTCTTTTCCCTAAAGTGCAAATCACAGAGGAAGTCCTTGTGCGACAGGTCTCGCCAAGGGAAGTTTCTCGCCCATACGGCGCGTCATTTCTCGTGCAAAGGAAGTTTGAAGAAATGTCTCGCCTGAGTACCTCGCACCGACCGTTTACAATATCGAAACACCGGTGCAGACCACGCCACCGGCATATTCTGATAAGATTGAAGACTCACATATTGTCACTTCACACGTTTCGAACAATGTGTGAACTCTCATCCACTGCTATAAGCTTCTCTGCGTTCTTTTTCCGAGGTGTGAAATGCGCACGGCCGTCCCCGTCGCGGCGGTATCAGACGACCGAGGGAATGTTTGCGCGTGCGCGCGATCATTATTTTGCTTCAATGGCTGAGGACTTTCCAAATAGATTCAGGGTCAACAGGAACACAGTTTCAATGTTTTATTGGTTAAAAAAAAGTACCGGATTTTGAATATGTGACTACCCAATAGACCCTTTCCGGAATTCAGTGCCATCTGGTGTCTCGAATGGCGGTTAATCTTTTACTATACTAATGGCGGCAATGAACCTGTGGTCTGCAGTATTTAATGGGGCACCATCACTTAAAGGTCAACGGTAAACGAAAATGTGCACTTCACTACAATTATTTTCAGTCTCTTTTAGTGTCAATGGCGAAACATAAGCAGCCAGTCGGAACGAAGCGCCAACCCACATAGACGCCTTGGTAGAGTTCTATACATCAAGGGGCTTTGAGGCCGAGTGAGTGCTACAAACAGATTGACTGGGACCGAGTTAGAAATGAACGCTTACGCAGCGCTTGCATCCAATTCCTGATTCGCGTCGCGCTAACGCCAATAATGTATAGGCCTCGAATCATCTGCCTAGGAGCATCTTCAACTTCTTCCTTCATCAGTAAACAGAAGGCCGCCATTAGTATAGCACATATTCCGTTTTCAGATGATGATGATAGTGATCAACGTGGCCAGACTGAATTGCGGAAAGGGTCTATAGCAGCAGAAACAATTTCAAAATGGTCTGCTGCTGTCATCCGTAAGCTCTTTAAGCCAGAAGCAAAGGCCAGAACCGTGCCGTCCATGATGATGATAGCGAGTATTAATGCGGAGCGCGCGCCCTCTGACAGGCAGCAGCAGCAAGCGTGGAAACGAAGGAAAGAGAATCAAAACTAGCCAAACAAGGCAAAGCGAAATACGCCATAATTCCAACGTCAAATAACACAAAAAAAGAAAAAAAAAACTATAAAAGCAGGAGGAAGAGAGACGGCTCCGCCGTAGCGTCGTTCAAACGTAAAAAGAAAGTGGAATTTGAAAAATTGAAGGGGTTGCAAACGGTCCAACGAGTACCGGCTTTTATTGAAAAAAGAGGCAGAAGACGTTAGTCGTGGCAGCGCAAACAACCGGAATTTTTGCACCATACATAACGTGACCTAGTGACACTTTCAGAGTAACGACACTTGCCCATATTGTGGCTTAAGATCATGGTTGCCAGTTATCTGAAGCTTGATCTGATATCACAGTAAACGCTTTTCCGCCCTCCACAATTGTTTAAACAGTTCGCGACAGAGCAAAGCAATACTACGTTAGCTTCAGAACACCAAGTCTAATGCTGAGGAAGTCGCACTTTTGAATCATGACGATCGGCAGTTGCATCTGCTCTGTACAGGCACAAAGATGGCGGCGCCCCGCCCACAACAATATCGGGGCACAGAGTGCCGACACTCTAAGCGTAGCTCATTTAGTGGCTCTAACTTGACTGAAATCACCTTTATTTGAGCTACAACGCTCTTCTCTTTTTTCTCCTGCAAGCGTGAGAAGTCTGCTTTTTCCGTAACTCCGCTTTTATTAACTTCAGCATTAACGTCAAATTTTGCATGTACACAATCGACTTCTTCCAGAGCATACTGACACCGCAGTACCGTACCGGGTTCGAAGTAGCTTTTTGCTTCTTCATCCGCAGACGATCTTAACGGGATAAGCCAACATTCATAAGAAATGGGAATTGCAACAACAAAACGAAATGATTGATAAGAACAGTAAAGTTGAAACGTAGCTATGTTCTAGAAATTTTTGTTTAAATTCCCCTTAAAAAAAAAATTAAAAACAACAGCGCGGAGGTACGTTCGTTTTTGGTCTGACTTAGGTAAGTTGTGACAGAGTGTTTTCTTTAGGAGAGCCCCAAAATTGCAACTTGAAAGCTTTAACATCTTTCTCACGCGAAGCAAATGTCCTTCACTTTCCTATTTTTTAACATTTAAAACAGCGAATACCCGCGGCAATGTTTTTTCATTGGTCATCTCACACGGAGATAGGCAAAATCAACGCGTTGTGGAGAATTCGTCTGCTAGCGGAAACTCCAAACTCGCCAGGGGCGCTGCGATCACTTTTCGCCTACTCTTCTCAGGAGTTGCCAGTATTGGCTTACATTCTATTTGACGATACATTTGGCTGTTTTATAACAGCCTGTCACCCTTTCAAGAGGCTTGGGAACTTTGGCGATATCTTCGTTTCCACCTCGTGAAGTTTAATATTAGAACGATGAACTGGAAATCAAGCTTCGACCGAATGGGGGAATCGAGCTGGCGAAAAAGAAAACCAGCAGAATCGTTTTCATTATTACTTTTATGCTGCTATCATATGATTGCTTCACTCTGTAGAAGAATGTTCCTACTGTTCAGAAAACATACTTTGCTTTCAATGTAACTCTGAATCTACGTTGTACCGCAAGAAATCCAAGCTTTTTCGCGTTCTCAACGATGAAACCGACCTCCTTTCGGCCACCATCTTGCCTGACCAGCGCGCCCTCTATATTTCGCTGGAGTCGACAGCGTAAGAAACCCGGGTCGTGGTGCTTCTTGAGCATCTTATCATGAATTCTCGGTTCATTAAATTGCGGCAAAATTCAATATTAACAACGGCGAACGAATCTCGACTCAAGGAGCGTGGATATATTCAAGCGCTGATTAGAATCCCAGGTATCTGCATCCACCTGCATCAAGGATGTTTCCCGTCGTTGTTAATTAGGATGTGGCGAACTCTTGTCGAAACCTGAGGTTTGATTGGTTCGGTGAACCCTGGAACTTTTAGTATAGTTCGACAAAATTCGACCTCTGGACAGTTTTGCCAGATTTCTGCACACTCGCTTTGCATTTTGTGAAACAAATTCTTTATAATGAAGTTCATTTTATTATTTATAAATTAATTACCGATATTTAGACAATATAAAAGCAAACGTTTGTACTACTATTGTTTAAGTTAGTTTAAAAATTTGGGGGAAAATAAACAAATTATACCCAACAATATTGCGTTTCTCCTCCGCCAGACGGCGTGGACTCGTTTTAAATTTTTAGCGCAGCCGCACTGAAGTCGAACTGCGGTCGACCATTTTTTCAGGTTTCGCGTTAAAATTTCGAAAAAAGTCGAACCTGGTTGAACCAATACCACGTGGAAGACAAGGCCCGAGTCTTTCCCCCGAAAACGTCATCACTAGTGAATCCACACAGCGCCGCCTAGCTTGCGTCAGCGTCGCTGCAAACCGCCTCGCAGCGTCTCCCAACGAGCATCGATGTTATCACGTGGCGACGCCATGACGCAGGCATCTGCCGCTTTGCGGCGTACTCTTGCGGAGTTTCTGCATGGTTGCCGCTTGGGGCGGGTCGGGAAGCCACCATTGATGACATAATATGCATGTCTTCCGGGTAGTATCCGGAGAACAAGTTGTGTGCTTCTTGCGGAGGGATCGCGGTGACGTCAGAACGACGCCGGGCTCTGATTGGCTCCGTTTGGAAGGACAGCGGGTAGACCTCAAGGCTAGAGGCTTTTAGGTCTACCGATTATCGTTTCCAACCAAAACCAATTAGAACTCGGCGTGCTGGCGTCGTCGCTACTCTTGTGCAAGACGCAGACGAACTTACGTCCCTCATTGATCGAATCTGCGGTCCTTGGTTTCTGCAGTCTGAGCTTTCGCTCCACGTACTACACATGTGCGTCTACTTTTACGCACAACACTCGGAGAGCCAATCAGAGCAACTTACGGAGGCACCTCCTCGTGACCTGAAATTGCTCGATGATGCTCACGTAGATTATCCCTGACGAACGAATCATGACAGAGCCGAAAGAACTCATCCAGAAGCAAGAAGCGGCGACGAGCCAGCTCCTCGCCGAGTCCATCGCTACTGTGCGAACGCAAGCCCCCCTTCCAAGTGAGAGATAACGCCGGTGAACGAACGAGCGGATTATCTGTGTTTCTACCTCCGTGCTGAAGCCGAAGGTGCGAGCCGTCCGCTTCAAACCAGTGTCCGTGACACGCCATGTGACTCCGCTCCGCATGGCGGCGGACCTTCTTTTGCCAGGTGGGTCACGTGATCAGTTATACGCCCATGATTGGCGAGGGTGGCTTGTGGATGTACCCTCCTCCAGTCGCAAGGAAGGTGGGGTGGATGACACGGTGTAGTCACTTAATTATTAGTCACGAGGGCGCCACGTACTGGAACACTCCATAATACGGTAGCCGTTGACCTCGAAGAATACTCAGGGGGTAAGTGTGCATTGAACTGACAGCTAGGGCCTTGGTCCTTGCGTACGTTGAGCACGCGCACTTCTTGCGTTATTCGCAATACCGTGCTTTGTATTTAAGTGGGTAGCTTGTTCTTACTGCGTTTGTTTCTGCAGCTGAAGATGAAACTACAAGAGATCAGGATTTGATTTAGAATTTTTATCGAGACGTTCAAGAGCTGCATCAACAAACCGGTTTCTCTTATTGGCATCTATAAGTCATAGTTCACCACGTTCAGGCGCCCTGAGAGCTTGTGTAGCCTTCTTAACGTCGCGGCGACTGGCCGACCTTTGCTCCAAGACGGCGGTGCATGTCCACAACACGGACACTCCAAGTGTAACTGTTCCCATCAAGAAGAAGAGTCCGTCGTAGTTCCCTATTTTGTCCCTGTAGTATCCTGGAAGAGAATCGACATTACGTAAGGTTAATTAACCCAAATCGAAAATTATTTGTGTATCATTGCTTTATATTATTGTATTCGCCCAACTTACAACACTTCTGCGATTTGTGTATCATTGCTTTAGCATTGCCATGGCTACATTTGGTTTGCGAGAGGGCGTTGCAGTAGCACAGCCCGCCTTCAGATATGACAAACATCTTCATCACGCAATTGCGCATAGACGTATCATTGTGACCATGGCCGCCTGGCATCTTTCGGTACAGACGTTTGCAAGTAAGGCCTCTGGGCGCCGCCAAGTTGCTGCTGGTGTGGGTAGATCGTCTGAAAGTCAAGCATTGCTGAGGCGGACCCACGGTTTCCTGTCTGGCACTAAAACAATGCGCTTTCCAGCCACGGTGGCCAGACTAGCTCTCGAACAGCGGCTGCTTGCAAGCGTCTATAGCACATTCCGCCAGTGGGAGCGAAAAAGGTTTATTCAATACATTTAAGATCCTGTGACTTTAGGAATTTAGCTTTATTTCGCGTAGCTCTTGTCACCTCGACGGAACGACAAGCAGTGATCTTGACATTAACATAAAATAAACACAAAGGAAAAATAAAATTTTCCTGGCTTAGACATTCCCTCTAATGCAACGCAGGTGTGAAAGCACTTGATGAAGTTTTTTGACGAGCAGCACTATGTATCCGAATTTAGCGGAGATATATCCGCGTTAAATTTAGCGGGGATATTTTTAAGTTATGTCACGTGACAGCGCCACCTGACGTTGTGACGTCACGTGGCGCAATGACGTCGTGTGCAATCGCGAAGTCACTTGAAGCATGACGTCACATGACACTCAAGTCACGTGACAGTATGATGTCATTTGAGACTGCCACGTTACGTCATGGCGTCATGCGATTAAGACGAACACAATCAAGGTACTAGGTTTCTGGATGGTTTACATATAAAGCTATCGCTTTAAGAAGATGTTACTGAGTCGCTTAAACCGTTTCTTTGTGCTGTTCGCCATGTTAAATTTTGACATTGTTGAGGTTAGGAACAATAGCAAATAAATTTATATGCTGTTTGGAAGGCGCTAGAATTCAAGAGGGTACGTGCCAATAGTTCTACTTTTTTTCTTGCCTCTACTTCTTTTGTACTGTCGTTATGCTTAAACTACTCATCTTAATTTTTGTCGCCCAACCCAACCACGTCGTATATTGATGTTGCAACTTTCTCTAGATGCTTACCCATGAAGGCGGGTCTTGTGAGCCCAGCCAGACCTACCACAAAGGATCCAATCCCTAAAGCCACACTATATTGGTCCATGTCTACAACCTCCGTGAGCAACACTGGAATGAGGGGCAGCGTGCAGCCGTTGCTCCAACCGGCCAATCCGGATAAGAAGACCTGACCAATGTACGAGCTCCAGATGGGAATCAGAAGGTAGGCGAGCGCCCAGAGCAGGAAGTTCAGAGCCATCCATGCGTTCCTGGAGCAGTAGCCGTGGTCCGTCACCCAACCCGTGCCGAGTCTTGCCAACAGGTCGACGATAGTGTAAGACGAAATTAAAGATACCGCGTCCCAGATCGTTATGCCCCGGTCCGCGCTGTAGTCGGTAATCACGGTTATAAATATGGACATATTAAAGAAGATTGTAATCTCCGCGCATATTAGCGTGTAAAATTTGGGTTTGGCGCAGAAGGAGAGGAGCGACCTTTTCCGCTGAGATTCGACGAACTCACGAGGCACGTGATCCGGGCGAACCGGCTTTTGAGATAACGAGCCGTGTTCGTAGTTCGAAACGCGCCGGTCATTAATCTCCTTTAGGTCATCTGTCGTTGCAATGGCGTGTTTCTTGAAGCCATCCTCGACATGCTTGAGCTCGGTTCCTGAAGTGGTGGCCGCCAGCTCCGGATCTTCGTTTTGGCTTCTACAGTGCTTGCTCGAGTCCAGGAGACTCAGCTGTTTCGACAGCAGGTTTTTTTCGTCACCTGCTAGCATAATGACTGGTGGTTTTTCTTTTGCCTCGCGACATTGCTGTCTGGCGGCTGACGCCCTGTCAGAACAAGGTGGTATCTGCTGAAGGATGGCGCCAGCAGCAGCGTTTAATATCACGCCACCGCAAAGAAGGAACATGGGGCGAAGACCGTACTCGGCGAGGAAGAACTGCGTTAGAGGCGGGAACAGGAGTCCGCCGATTGAGAAGCCGGCCATGTTTAAACCGGATGCCACGGCTCGGTACTTGACGAAGTGCTGGTTTATGACCACAGTCGTAAGGGCAAGGAGGCCTACACCAGCACCTGTACACCGCAGAAAAAAGAGGTAAATTTACCAAGGCATCTAGCATCATACGATGAAGGCACACAAGTTAGAGTCTAAAAACTGGTTCCCACATTTGGGTCATTCTATGAAAAATGTTCCAGGCGGTGTTACCGACCACTGCCTAATTCTTAAAGAAGAAAGGAGAAGTGGTTGTTGGCGAGATTTTAGATAAACTTACGCCAAAACGTTTTTCAAGAGAAAACAAATTAGATCACGTGAGTGCTTTCTGAAATTTCTGCAGCGAAACCGAAAAATAGGTATAAGTTGAAAAAATCTCTGGGAAATCTAAGCGATTAAAATAGGACAGATAAATTACTTTTACATACTCTGCTGAGATTAACGACGAAAATAATCCCTGCAGGAGGGGAACAAGAGGGGCAAAGGACAAACACAAATATCAAAACACAGCTAGGTGACTGGTGCGCGACTGAAAAAATCCGCCTGGTGCAGGTATCCAAACCCGGGACCTCTCCATTACAGGTGGAGCGCTTTACCATCTGAGCTAATCAGGGGTTAGAGGTCCCCTGGTTAGCTCAGTTGGTTCTTGTCCAGCTCGCTTGCACCTTTGCATTTAATTGCATTATAATCAGCTGAGCTTGGTGTTCCATATGATGGAAGTTCATATTAAGTAACATATTTTTTTTAGTAAACGAGCATAAACCTAGACGTTTTCAGCGTTTTAAAGAAAAAAGGAGGCACTGTGGACATTGAGGATATTTTAAAACTGAATTTGGGCTGGGCTGTTGCTCATGTTTCCCAAAACGAAATCTTAAGGTTGCCAGCATCCATTTTTTCTCAAGATTCATCACCGAAATAAGCACCAAGGCCCCACGTTACGATTGATGGAAGGCCCATTCGCGCACTTGCAACTGCTTACAACCGAGTGCGTTAGAACCTCTTGTGATCTCTTACGACGAGATCACACACTGGCGTCACCTATCGGGTAAAAGTGGAACACTTTTTTGCGCATTATATTTTTTTTCGCGAAACTTTTAACCATGTTATAAATGACTACTTTCACAGGGATATAGTTAGTGCATTTGATCTCACATAGAGTACAAAACCTTCACTTTTCTGAAATGCTGTCCCGGGGCCATGGGGCCGCCAGCGCGGCCCAGGGTGTTTATTCGTCGTAAGATACTACAGAAGGTCACGATGCACTCAGTTGTAAGCAGTCGCAAGTGTGTGAACTAGACTTTAGGTTCTACAGTTTAGATGACTTGTAGTCGTTGACAGCTCATGAAAACGCAGGTCCTGGCATCTCATTGTCGCTCCACAGCCAATGAGACTGCGACAGTGGCCGATAATATCACCGAGGAACCAATCATGGCACAAGAAGCGCGCGCAGGATAAGCCATTCGCTGTGCTTCGTTTTCTGTCGACTACTTGAGAGGAGACAAAGAGAAGATTACGCAATAACTAGACACGCTCAATCTCCGTGTAAATATGCGAATAGAGCTAATGGTCCGAACGAGATGCCGAAGTTTCAGAATTAAGCGTCATCTTATTAGAACATTGGTGTGACTTCCATTTTTAAATTTTAAAGGTAAAATGGGGTCCGTGCTCTCTAATTTGTTTTTGTTAACTCGCGCCCAGACATGTAGGTAACGCGTTATTTGTAACGCGTTACTTCTACCTAGTTTAGTTTTCAGTAACAAGTAACGTATTTAGTTGCTTTGTTTTAGAAAAGGAACGAGTATCGTACTTAGTTACTTATGAGGCAAAGTAACCAGTAAAGTTAGTTCGTTACTTTTGAGGAGTAACATGTACAACATCGTTTAAACGGCCTCGTTTTAATCATAACCTGAGAATGCGTCTATTGCGACAAAGGCAGATGGGAAACCAGAAAAACAACTAAACAACGTCAGTCGGACTCTACAGCTGGGAATGTTCTTTTACCCAGCGATCACATAAGGTTCGTCGGGTGAACCTCCTAGAATCGTGCCCAGACCAAACGTAATCCCGGAGATTGCTAACACAGGAAGGCACAGAACCACAGAACCCATTGTCAACTTCTAACTTTAAAGGCAGAGAGGACAAGAAAGAAAGAGAGAGAGAGAGGAATCCTAGATTCACCAGCTCTTCCTGAAGGACAACACTGCCGTTCTTTCGAACGCGTCATTATAACTACTCATCAGCGTCGCCGGAGATGTATTTTCAAGGAAGCGGGGAAACATAACTGGTGAAAACTTCGAGAGGCAGCTACGAACACTGAAAAGGAAACAATGAAGTACGAAACAAAAGCAGTTGTGTATTTATTTGGTCGTCAAAGTAGCCAGAAAAATGACTCGTTACGTTTGAGGTAGAATAAAGCGTTCCTTTTGAGAATCGGGAACGAATAACGTAGTTACTTTTTGAGCAAGTAAAGAGTAACGATATTTAGTTACTTATTTGCGGTAACGTGTACATCTGCGCCATTTACAGCTCCATGTGTATGAGTTCTTTGTCGGCCGCCATTTTCCCATTGGGAAGTTTCAGAAGATCGGTTCTAACTTTTGAACAAACTAAAGGTTAGTGCTGAAACTTTGGCATCTGTTGCGGGCTGCTAGCGGTTCATTTGGGCGAAGAATGAGCGTTCGGCGATGAGTAGTTTGTTTTTCTGATGAAAAAACAAAACAAAAACAAAAAAAACAATCTATATATATTTTTGGGGGGCCACCTTGTAGTTTTTTTGTTTTTTTTAAATTTCGTTTCGGTGTCAACTGTTACTACTTGGGTAATGGTACCATAAAGAAGCAAAAAATAGAGCACTCTAATGAACATGTAGCGCACGCGCTAAAACATTAAACAAAGGTAAGGCATACCGTAAACGACACTATACGCGTGTTTCTTTCGAACACAGTCTTCATGGCGACGTTCGTCATATAGCATATACGAATGGTGCTTGGCCAACAAATCTGCTTACATATTCAAGGTTTCCGTCGTACCGTGAATGAATCCTAGAAAAACGGCAAGGTACCAGATGCTCGTGGCGAAGTAGCAGACGGAAACAGCGGAAGAACATATGAGGCAGCCTGCGAGTGTGAGCTTCCAGATCTTGATGTACCTCGCCAGTATGCCACCGACGAGTGCTGTGCGGAAACATTTATGGAAGCGACATTACTATGTCTTACATACAAAAACACCGGACGCGCTACATTAATGACTCAACGCTGGTCCAGATATTTGCGTTTGAGTACGACCGACTACGATACGAATATTTGACTGCTTACGACACGATTTTACTACGCGTTGCTTTGAAAACTGAGCTCCGCGTAACCCCCCGTACAGAAACGCCATATGTGGTCCTATCGAGAATTTGGCGAATAAGGCCATCATATGGCCATATATATATATATATATATATATATATACAGGGTGTTTCAGAAAACGCAGGCAAAATCGCTCCTGCGAAAACTACTCATCGCAGCAAAAAAAGGTTTGTGGCGTTTTCGTCCTGGGCCAGGGGCCCATTTAGGAAAATTATTAAAGTCCGGAAAAATTAAGTTGGTAATTATTTTTGCGTAATTAACTTTTTTCATATTGTGTTTAAGGGCATGGTTTAAATCAGAAAATTGCTCAGCATGATCGAAAAACACTATATCAACAAATTCCAGAACGATAGAAGGCACGCGAAGCATTTTACGGCTTTCTGAAAAACCGCACAAAATCGACGGGTTTTTAAGTTTCGGTTTGCTATCAGAGCGCATCTCAGCCCCGGCGGCACCGCGCCCCATGGAGAGATAGTGCAACCAGCCTCATTGCGCAATCAAAGCATTAATAAATAGTTACAATAAAAAAAGAAACGTAAGTGCTCTAATATCAATATACGTTGTTACATTTGCGCCGTCTTAGCCTGAAATTGTTCAGTACAGATATATATATATTGCGGGTGTTCTCGCGATACCAGGACGGCTGAGATTGCGGTCAACACTGCGCTGCTTTACCTGTCATGAAATAGACGGATCCCGCGACGCTGATTGGCCAGGAGGCCTCTTCCCTAGTGACGTGGAAGGTGTCGAGTATTCCCACGTAGAGGATGGCTGCTGAACGAATCATAGAGAAGGTGAAGACGCTTATCCAACAGCAGCCCGCAGCCACAAGCCAGCTTCTCGTAGAATCCATTTTTTTCTGTACGCTCTCGCCTGAACTTCAGCGATCCTTGAACTGATAGCATCGGAAACGCAGGCCGCTACCTGCCCTTATCACCGGCTCGGCGATAACAAGACAGCCCGGCAAGCGTTGTTGCGTCTCTAGGTATTTGTTGACGACTCTTCGACGACGGCCGAGATCCCGGTTAGTTTCTCTTTACATATTACCTTCTGTCTTCCACGTGGAACCTCTTTGTCTCTTGTTTTTATCGTCCCTGATGCCTTATCTGGTGAAATTGTGTACAGCCATAGATTTCGTGTCGGCTGATTTCAGCGAGGTGGCTATGCTTCGTTTCAGCTTACGTTCAGACCAGGCTGTAAGACAGGTGGGTGGAGAAACGAGGGCCGATTGGGCGACCTGATTGTATCGCCGATTTAAGAGGGTTTGCAGTACTTCAGATAGGTGTCACTACCAATAGAAGGAACGAAATACAAAGTATCCTCATTTATTTTGCAGGACAGAGGATCCACTGCAATTTTTTTTTATGAACTGTGCATGAACCACACAAGTTTAATCGAGCAAACTAATAATCTTTTTAATATATAGGTGCTTTGTAGCGTGTAGTTTCAGGTTAGAAGTCTGCTGTTTAGCTGAGGCGTGTCGAGATTGCGATGACGAGGTCGGTTACATACCGCCTGTGGATGTACGTGTTCGGCAATCTATAGCTGAGACGTTTCCGTTGTTTACGGGCAAGCAAATTGAGTTTTAGTTCGAAGTTTTTTAAAGCCGGAGGTACGCCGTCGCACTGCACTGCGGTCACACTGTGCCCAGTACGACAGTGTCAGCCGAACTCAACATCGCCCGCGTTAGATATCATTGCTTTTTCTTTCTTCGGGCCGTAACTCGACCGACAGTTGGGAACACAACAGTAGCGGACCATACCTCAATGATCTTGGCCGTCCCCAGACGCGGAAACACGACGAGAAATGCCAATTTCGTTCGATACCGCATAACTCGTTTGCCCCAAGCGCGTTCGGGAGTAAAACATATAAAACAAAAAGCAAAGAACATGTCAGACGTTTCGCAGACGACTTGCTATTGCCAGCCGCTCACGTGGCTTGCAAAGTACATTAAAGTTAATAAAATGTCGATAGATAATCGTGTGGCAACTTTATTTTGCCAGGATTGAGTGAATGCTACTTTAAATTGAAGAATATTGCTGCCACAGTGTGTTCTCTCGCTCAATTCCATACAAATCCGAGTCCATCACATCCCTATCGCATTCCGTATGCCGCCGCGCCATCTATCGAAGTGCGGACGTACCTGACGAGCAGAAGCCACTAGAACACAATCCGGTCGCACCGCTGCGGCAGGTTTAGTGGTTGTTTTCTCATCTGCCTAATCTTACACCCTGGTTCCGACGCAGCCGACACTACGAGCTAATGGTACCGTTCAAGCAGTATCAAAAGCGGAAGTTGTGAAAATCGGCCCGCCATCACCGTGAAGGGACGCGGGAGCAGGCTTTTTTCTTTGCGTGTTTGCGTTTGCATGTGTGCTCCGGTTTGGGGGTGAACTGCAGCGACACTCGTGAGAGCTGGGGCAGGGGACATTTGAGAGAAGAGGAAGACGTGGAGGACAGCACGGGGTGTGACCTTTTGCAGGGATTCGGAAATGAGCTTCGCTTGTAAATAGACGTGTTTTTTTCTTCCCCCTATCCGCGGAGTCCTGACTGGTTTACTCTTCCGTCTGCGACTATCAGCCTCCTCTGTCGTCGGGTCCCGGCGCAATCTCCAAGAAAGAACATCTTTACTGAAGTCACTAGGCCTTTTAATGCATGGAGTGTCTCATGGAACGAGCCGACGTCATCAGCTTTAATACCGCGCCGAACGGCACCTTAAAGGGGCACTGACACCCCAAAGGTCGTATTTATTTTTATTGTCTAAAACGATGCAAGTTGCAGTCATAGACACGCAAAAAAAACCGCATCGCGAAAAAAAATTTTCCCGCGCGCGCGCGCGCCTTTTTATTTTTGGCGTTTGATTTTCCCGCCTCTCGCCTCCTCAGTTCTTTTGATCGGTGACGTCAAAAATCAGGAAATTTAGAAGCTTTGTAGGCGACATCTCTATAACATTTAATTACGGCAATCGTAAAACATGTTTTTTAACGCAATTGCGAACGCACTACGGCCCTTTTTTTTGAAATACCAAAAATCGGGAGTTCGTTGTGGTGCCGTCTCCTGGATTTGTATCCTCCAACGGAAAACAGGCGACACCGCTCAAAACCGGTCCGCCGCAACGCCGGCAATCGCTCCTTTCCTCCTCGCTTTGGGTCGCCATGGCAACAGCAGGGAGTGGTGAAAAAAAGTCGACGCTCAGGTCTCCGCGATTTTTGACGTCAAGGCACCGGCGCCGATCGCGCGGGAACTTCGAATTCGGCATTTGGAAATTGTTTTTTTACTTCACAAATACTGAACTCCCAAATTTCAAATTTTGAGGGTAATGTCCCGGCATCGTTTTCAATCGTTTCGGATAATAAAAAAAAATATGATTTTGATGTGTCAGTGCCCCTTTAAGGGCTCATTCACACTGGAAGCGGATCCGCGTTCGCAAAGCGGTTGCGAACGCGGTTGTATAAGGATTCAGTACAATTGCACGCGCACACGATGACATCAAATGCGCGTGCAATTGCACTGGATCTTCATACAACCGCTTTCGCAACCGCTTCGCGAACGCGGATCCGCTTCCAGTGTGAATGGGGGGTAAATCCTTTCTCCAAATGAAACCAGCACCCAGTTATGAAACCACGCGAAAAGCTAGCCAACGACACCTGAATTCCCCGATACCAAAAGGAGCGGAGTAAAGCTGATTTGTTTTCGGCTTCGGTCCCATTGGCTGGCGCGCGTCGACGAGGCTCCCATTGGCCGCTGCGCGTCAGTTTTAACGACGGCCACCCCATGGCGCTGCGTGTCCGTCAGCGCCATGGGGTAACCGTAATCTATAGGCTGTAATCGCCTCGGTGAAAGGAAGTGTGAGCGCAAATGTGCGTATTCAAATAGGTTCTATAGCGTTTTTTTTTTTGTATAATCGTAGCATGAAGCAAGATTTTTTTTTTTTTTGATAGGGCTTTGCATTTTTTGGTTTTATTTTTCAACGAACTCGGTGGTGCCTTTCCGGGGTTCACTTTTTCTCACAGATTTCTTGTTTGAAGAAACACTGGGGTTTGGACAAAAAATAGGGGGTCGTGTTGAATAGAAGAGGGCCCAGACGTGAAGTCCCCAAACCTCCAGAAATCATACGCGTAACCCGAAAAGTTCAAAAACAAACAACTGCGTACAAAAAAAAAAAAAAAAAAACTTTGAGGACATTTAAGCACATTTTATGAGTTGTGAATGCGAAAGCATGAATGTCTTTCTTCCTCTCACTTAGTTTGTCTGTGGCGTGCTGGCGTGGACGGCTACGTTTAACTACCGCCGAGGTAGCAGCCGACGGCCTAGCGCGTGCTCTCGTGATGTGGCCGTGCCGCGCAGAGCTCGGCCGTGCAGCCTCTCCGGAGTTTGCCCGTGCGGGCTCTGCGGCCGGCTGTTCCCTCTTACCGGCGGCCGGGTCGCTTAAGACCCCTTTACCGCTCATTCACACTGGAAGCGGATCCGCGTTCGCAAAGTGGTTGCGAACGCGGTTGTATAAAGATCCAGTGCAATTGCACGCGCACTTGATGACATCAAGTGCGCGTGCAATTGCACTGGATCTTTATACAACCGCGTTCGCAACCGCTTTGCGAACGCTGATCCGCTTCCAGTGTGAATGAGCGGTACGGGTCTCTTCGTGCGCTGCCCCGCCATAGAGAGGGCTTCTCTAGTGGCGTTCTTTGGAACTACGCCGCGCGAGAACCAATGGCAGCCTCGTTCCTTGAAACTATGACGCTTTCCAGCCAATGGGAGCCTATCCATCAGATTTCTGCTACAGACAACAGGTTTCTCTCTATTGTGACAGGCGAAGGTGCGGTTTGGCGCGGCTTCAAAAGTTGTCGACGTAGGTTCGCTCCATGGCAGCAGTTAATGCTCTCGCATTAAAAATATTAATAAGATGTGTGGTTCCGAAGGAAGAAGCAGCTTCGCGGACAGTTCAGAGGGCGCTCTCTGTACCGGGCCAACAAAAAAATGAAGCCGTAGATGAAGGTCTCTTTCCCTGAAGTTTAAAGGGACACTGACAGTGTATTTATGCTCGCCGAGGTTTTTAGTTGTACGTGACCTATGAGAGCCGAACTACCCGGAACAGAATTTGCGGCTCGAAATTTGGTTTCTTTCCGTCCGAAAACCGCCGATCGAAAGCTGGCTGGTTTGAGTCGTGCTCACTCTCTTCTCCGTGGTCACGGGCCGTTTTCGAAGCTTTAGACACAACCACCAAATTTAATCAAAGTCGTGGGTCATTGAAGGCACACGCTAAATATTAAATATATAAAAAAATATGAAACCCCCTTTTTGTAATTTTTAGAAAGCTGCCAATACGTTGATTGAAAAACATGTTGCAAAGAAAACCAGAAGCGTTTGTGCGTTCGCTGGGCAATTCTCACCGTGGCGTCGTTTCGCGTATGGTGGGGCTCGCGTGCTGGACGACGATGGCAGCGGACGACGGGCGTGGGACCTCTACTTAAGAACTTTCGTTCGCGGTACCGGCGAATTCTGTCTTCCTTTGAAAGAGAAAATTTGGACCGATCAAAAGAATTGGCATTCGTCCCGTACGGCACGCCCGACCACCAAGCCGATTTGCACAAAGACGTCGCCGACCCGTCGCCCCCTTCTCGTGGCTGAAGATATCGCTCGCGCAAACGTCAAGCACGAAGTGCGTACTTCGAGTTGAACATGCACACGTACGATTTCTTTACTAGGCGCGAATGTGGCCAATGCGTTGTGCTGCCCGACTTCGAGCAGGGAGTGCCTTCGTTGGAGGGAAATCGGAAGCAAACTTTCCGACGTACAGTCTACCATTTCTACGAAGAGTTGTCCCAGTAACTCAGTGGAAAGGTGTCTGTTCATGCTCAGCAAACCCAAGTTCGATCCGTTTTTTTTTTGTTTTTTTTTTCAAAAAAACATTTTGCGTTATTTATATTTTCCTTTTTATCAATTATCACTGAAAAAAAAAATGTTGTGGACGAAACGTTGCTGAGCTAAGTGGTATGGGATTCCATTTTCGACACCTGCGAACTTAATGTAGTCACTTTCCACAAAATGCAAGGAGCATATAAATCAGGTAGTGTCCGCTTTCCGAGGTGCCCGTCAATGTTCTACTGGGATTGCAGCCAGCCATTGGTCCCGATCCCGTTGATCTTTCGGAACATTGTGCAGACTGTGCCACGCAATGCCACTTTAGGATGCAGGACATGTGAGGCAGCTCTTCACGCAACATCTTGGTGGTATTCTTTTCGGAGCCGATCACGGGAATTCACCACGGGCACTCACTACTTATTTCTAACTCTTCTGTACAGAACGACTCATCTTGAAGTGAAGAACAGCGAGCGGAACAAACATAGCTGCAAAGGAATCGCACGGCAAACATTTCACATGTCTGCTGCGCGCCAAAAAAAAAAAAGGATGAAAAAAAAAAAATGGAACGGTTGGGTCTAGCCCAGGGTGTAAGATAGACAGGTGGGGAAACGAAGCCAAATGAGCGACCGGATTGTGTACCCCTCGGGTTTCTCTTTTTCTGTGGCGCCATCTATGTGGAGCACCGCGAACCCTCACTCCGGGTGGGCGACCGATGGCGACCGGCTAAACAGACGGAGATGGTTTCTCGTGGATTTTTTAATGGAGGACTGTCGTGCTCTCGGTTTATTTTGCGCACTCTCCCATAAAGTTCCATACAAATCCGATTCCGACTTTTTTTCCTCTCGCCGCAGCGCCATCTGTCGCAAATGGGGGGTACCCGCAAGCAGACGAGTACACAATCCGGTCACGGCGCTGCGGTAGGCTTCTATGGGCCGTTTCCCCACCTGCCTATCTAACACCCTGGTCTAGCCACATGACTCCCGGCACACTCTCTCCTCCATACTTCCCCGACCCCCGTGCGCAGGTTTCGGTTTCGCTTTCAAGCAGTTGCGTTTTTTTGGGTTTATGAAAAATATACGTGACTCTGTAGCAAATATTATTTGGTTAGTCTTCTGACACCATAATAAATCGTCTGGCAAAGAATGAAAAATCTTTTTTTTTTTTTTTTTTTTGGGGGGGGGGGGGGGGGTGGGAGGGTTCAGTTCTCTTTAAAGGTTTTCTCCTTCAAAGGTGACTACACTCTACGTTTTTTTTTTTTTTCTGTTTTCTCCGATTTTGACGAACCGGCCCATGGGTTAGTTTTCGGTGTTTATCTGTATTAAAATTCAGAACCCTATAAGTCGGTGGCAGTTTAAGGGCTCAGAAAAAGCTCCTCCCGTCTCTTTATCCCTTTGGAAGAACGAACGACGGGGAGGGGGTCACTTCCTGTACAGCCTTTGCTCTACCAAAGGGCAAAGAGGTGTTCTAAGATTAGTTTGTCCGTAGCTGTGCATTAATAAAATGCTTATTCGTTCGCTACCATTTTCATTTATTTTCAGAAATACTTTGTCGTGGGTGAAAATCCTGGATACATTTCGGTGACGGATTTCAAAAACATAAAGCAAGAAACTTTTACAGAAATCTCTGAGATCGACGTTGAAAAGGACCTAATCGCCCTTTGCTTCACATGTCTGTCCCAAAACTTCCCGGAATGATTTTTTGTGGTCGGCAACGCCGCCTGGCGGGGTGGGGCTTCAGGTGGAGAAGTTAGTGGGGGGATATAAGCTTCGAAACGAGACCGGACTCAATTGTCTGCTATCAGTTGCTGAGGCAGGTCACGCTCCGCGCAGAGGCATCTACAGCACCCTCGTCGAGAAAAAAAATGGACCAGTTTTTGGAGCAACGTAATGCAATCAAGTTTTGTGTGCAACTAGGTAAAAACGGGGCGGAGACGCTCGAAATGCTTCGGAAAGCCTACGGCAACGACGCGATGAAAAAAAGCCAAACTTTCATGTGGCACAAGAGGTTCCGGGAAGGTAGGGAGTCCGTCAACGACGACGACCGCTCGGGACGCCCGTCGACATCACAAACGGATGACTCGGTGCAAAAAGTGCGTCACGTTTTGGACAAGGACCGGCGATTAAGCGTTCGAATGGTCGCAGATGAGTGTGGAATACCCAAAACAATAGTTCATCGCATTTTAACAGAGGATCTCCAAATGAGGAAAGTCTGCGCGAAAATGGTGCCAAAGGTTCTGACGAGTGAGATGAAGGAAGAGCGTTTGTTGAAGTGTCAGGAATTGCACGAACGCTTCGAAACAGACCCAGAATTTTTGGACAGAGTGATCACAGGGGATGAGACGTGGATTTTCGAGTACGATCCCGAATCAAAGCGTCAGAGCAGCGAGTGGCACACCACGGAGTCTCCTCGCCCGAAAAAAGCAAGGATGAGCAAATCGCGAATCAAGGCAATGCTCATTGTGTTTTTTGACAAAAAAGGTGTGGTTCACAGTGAATTCGTGCCACAGGGACAAACAGTCAACAAGGAGTTTTACTGTGAAGTGCTCAAACGGTTGCGAAACAGGGTTCGACGAGTCCGAAAAGAAATTTGCGACAACTGGATCTTGCACCATGACAATGCGTCAAGCCACACCGCGCTCATTGTCTCCGAGTTGCTGGCCAAAATGTGTGTGCCAACGCTGCCCCAGCCACCGTACAGCCCCGATCTGGCACCACCGGACTTCTTTTTATTCCCAAGAATCAAAAGAACCCTGAAAGGAACTCGGCATGGTACGCTGGAGACGGTAAAAGCAGCTGCGACGACCTCACTGAAGGAGGTTCCTGTTGACGGGTTCCAGGGCGCCTTCAATAATTGGGTTCAGCGTTGGCAACAGTGCATCGAAGCAGGGGGAGATTACTTTGAAAAGTTCTGAAAAGATTGTACACTAATATTGAATCGATGATTTATAAAAAGAACAATTCCGGGAACTTTTGGGACAGACCCTGTATAAGCATGTTTGCTTCATGTTTTCTTTGAACATGTCTGCAGGCAATTCTGGTATGACATGTGACGGAAGCTTCGTATGGAATCACTAAAAATGACGTCAGTCTTAGGACTTGTTTTCTAGGAGCCATGTATACGGGAGAAGCATGTCTCAGGCAGGGCCTACAGACTGTCTATGGTAGGATGTCTTTGAGGTGCGACCGCAGTTCAAGGTGGGGGGGGGGGGGGGGGGGGGGCGGGGGCGGGGGGAGGGGGGGAAAGAAGACAGCTTTAGAGGTTACAGTCACATGGCATTTTTAATCACTTTGAATTGCGGGTAGAACCAAGAGGGAGAGCGCTTTGTGGCAGCCGGACTTCCCTCGATCTTAGAAGCTCTACGTCCGTGAGCTCGCAAAACCGTGTCCTTGACGATGGTGCACAACCACAAAAGGGACATCAAACCGGCAAACGCGGCGAGGACGTCGAAGAGTCCCTCGTAGTCGCCATGGTGGTCCCTGAAATAACCTGCGAGGGCACGAAAATACATTAAAATAAAATTACTTCACGCCATATGGATGAACGTGGTTAGCGAGACTTTGACAAAGGCATATGAGCTGCCTCGAGAGAAACTAAGGAAAGTTGATAAATTGTTTGTCAAGTGGCCAACAAATAGTGATTTTGTTTTACAAAAAAAAAAAAAAAAAGTTAGAAGACACTTTTTCCCTCTCCCGCCCATTTGCGCTCGGTGATGTTTAAGAAACGCAGGGTATGGCGACTCCCCGACATCTCGTTATCTCCCTGCAGCCAATCAGATTGCAGAATTTGTCGACAAAAACACCAAAGGACCAAGTACAAAGCAAGAGGCGGGAAGATAACAAACCACGCCTTACAATTCTTAAGCTCTCGTTATGCGGAGCGCAAGTTCCTCCGCTTCGTGCGTCGGGGTTGATGTGACGTCAAAACGCAGAGCTCTGATTGGTTCTGATGGAAGGATTGTGGCTAGACCTCGAGGCGACTAGCATTGTGGTCTACTCACTATCCTTCCAATCAAAGCCAATCAGAGCTAGGCGTCGTTCTGACGTCACCGGAACCCCTGCGCAAGAAGCAGACGAAGTTGCGCTCACCATGGTTCCGCTCAGCAGCCTTCTAGATTTTCTTTTAGAAACCTGATATTTAGAACGTGCATACCTATCGGTCTTCAATTGAATCCCTTTTTTTAGCATGCTTTCAATATGTTTACCTTGGTGCATAACAACCTTCGTTGCTGCTGCGCCAATAAAAGAGTAATCGTCGTCGCGAAGGAAAACCGAGTTAACAAAAGGTACGCTTCCCCCCCCTCTTCTGCCCCGGGTATGTTGCGAATACGGATATGTAAAACAAAATCGTAGTGTGCGGCAGGGGAAAAAATAATTAAGCAATTATGCGTTAATAATTCACAATGCATCAGTCACAGCAAAGTCGTAAGGAAATCGGTGTCCAATCACGCACGGTGGGGTGCGTGTACAAAGGCGTTCAGAACAGAATGAATGTGTGACCATTTTGTTTAGAACGCTTTTGTTCCTTCTTTTTTTTTTTTTGTTAAGAGAGCTTGAAAGCGCGTCTCCCGCATTGATATTGCTACGGCGGCATTTTGTTATATCGGCTTGTTTTTTTTTCGTTTTTTTTTTCGCAGACAGCGCGTGTAATGGGCATCGGGTACTAAAAAAACAAAAAGGACATCTGACCATTTTGTTTTAAACGTTTGTGTTTCTTTTTTTCTTTTTTGTTTCAGAGCGCGTGAACGCGTTTCTCCCGGCACGAGCCTTTGGCATTGACGACGGCATTTTCCACCGGTAACTATTATTATGTTGTTGATTTTTTTTTTCAGGGAGCGCGTGCTGTACGGGCATTGGCTACCACAAAAAACCCTAAGTATAGAGCGGGTCGTTAACGCTGTGGCGTTACTCAGCCTATCGGTGAAGGAAACTTCTTTCCCGTACGATATGGTCCCTCACGCCATCCGGAACAGCGGGGTGGCGGTAACGTCACGTAAACTTAAACATTCGCTCAGAGGACGGTAACTTTAATGAAAAGTGTGCGAGAGCCTCCAGCTGTGCACTGGAGGATCTCTCTTGAAGCGGAATGGCTGACGGCTTTTTGACAAGCCGTCAAAAATTAGAGGATTTTAATCATCAGCCAAAAAATCTGGAGAATGTAATATATGCACACCATAACTGAGCGAGACAGTTCATTATACACTGCTGTGACTGAGTGCATTTCACTGTGACTGTAAAACATCGCAATGAAAAAAAAAACAGAAGGAAAGTTGCAGCGTTGTTTAGTGGTAAAGCATTCGCTTCGCACGTCGCTGACGCGGGTTCGATTCCCACGTACGGGCGGCAAGTGAATCTTTTTCAAGGATTTGGCAACATCAACAACGGACGTCATTTCCAGTGGTGGAAAAAACCCTTAATGGTTATGGCTGTAAAAAAAAAAAAAATACCTATTTTGATTATTTACAAGAATTCACTTTTGGCCACAAAGACCTGTTGGACGATGGTTATTAACTTGTGAATTTTTTTTCTTTTTTAATTCATTTTGAAGGCTGCCAATTTTGAACATAAAAAAAAACAAAACAAACATCGCTAAGATGTTGGAAAGGAACGTTTTGCACATTTAACCATTCCCGTGTTGGTTACAACGAAGCCAGGCCACATGACAAACACCGAGGCTGGCATATCGTATATGAGAGAGGTGTCGCTGTGGCTGCAGAATATGGACAACACGACCTATTCGCGTTGTTTTGAGTTTTGATGTGAAAGCTTAAGATATCTGAGGCTGCACCTAATATTTTTAGTTCTTTGTGAGTTGGAAAATAAAATCATAAATATTATCCGCCAATTTTCTTTACCTCTCCAGCTTCGTTGAACCATAAAAAAGCATCAACTACGGTTGTACTCTTAGATATTGTTTAAGTTTGCAGCCAAGAAATTGTGAAGTTGTGAGTTCAAAGTATTGTTCAATACTTGTCGTCTTGGAAAAGAAAAACATATTGATGTCAAAGATTATAACTTGTTTTGCCGTCTCAAGGCTGAACGATTTGGCTGCTGCACGTTTATATCTTTATATCCTTATAGGTTTATTTAAACAAACGGCAGACCTTGAGATCCAGGTGTGAGGGTACGCTCGTTGAGTGCTAGTAGCGTTTTCAAACACTTTGACTATTTCAAACAAAAACAGACACGTTGGCAACTTTTGCATGAGTCGTCGATGGGTAGTTTCATTAGTCAATGCATCTATCATTAAAAGAGTTCCAAAATGAATATGTTAAAGGTTTAGCTATTTAGTGTGTTGACTCATTGTCGCGTTATTAGGATTTGCATACGTAATTGTTTTTTTAAATATCAATAATGCAAATAACCATGTAACAAATGACAAAATAATTAACTTCGTTCGAGTCAAAATCACTACACATTCACGTCTCGCTAACACGATTCCTGTTAATATGAACAATCCACTCTGTAGACAAATTCTGATTGAAGACAAACTGGGTAAGTATGTGCATTTTTGCTTCTTTAATACGAACGACCAACGTTACGGACAATTTTTTAGGAGAAACGGAGTTTTCCTTATTAACAAGACATAATACAGATAAGAGGGAGGTTTTCGCTCGACTTCTATGTCGAGACAGAGTAAAGTAATGGAACAAAAATATGAACCCAACACATTCGTCGTTAAGATTAGTTATTTGTTTCGAATACGAAAACAAAACGAAATAGCGTAACGGAACGCTCACCAATCAAGGAGGGCCTCAGGAATCCACAAGCACCCGAGAAGAAGATGCCCACGCCAAAAGTGACGCCAAGGTTGTCGATTCCAACAAGCTCCACAAAAAATACGACGATCAAGATCATCGTGCAACCGTTGCACCAACCTCCCACCAGGGCCAGGACGACCTGACAGTAGTAAGCAGTGCAGAATGGCGTGACAACCAGGGACACAGACCACAAGGCAAAATGAAGGGCCATCATGGTGTTCTTGTTGAGAAATCCGCGGTCTGTGATCAATCCAGAGCCGAACCTGGCTATCATGTCGGTGGCGTTGTACAGAGACACCAGGGAGATAGCGTACCATCTCGAAATGCCGTTATCCACGGAAAAGTCTACAATGATGGTGGTGTACGTGCCCATGATGAAAAACACTAGGACCTGCGACGCGGCGATGAGATAAAAGCTAGGGAACGTAAAAAATGAGAGTACACTTCCGCTTGAACATTGGCCTTTGGTGGGCTCGAGGTTTGTGGCTTCTGCTTTCTGCTTACTGGCAAGGTCATGTGGATGAAAATGCTGGTGCTTATTTTCTGACTTTTCTTGTTGCCCGGTGTCCCGTCCTGTTTCAGCTTCGTTACCGCCAAGCATTGTCTTTGTAACGGAATGGTCTATGCCGGCATCATCGTGCTTCTTGACGTCGATTTTCTGGTTGACCAAACCATCTTTTCCGATTTCCTGAGGTTCACACGTGACAAAGGAGGCAGGAACCTTAATGATGTTTTGCTTGGGCGGGTTAGACTCGATGGTTTGTTCCAGTCTATGACGCTTTTGGGCGAGTTCGAGTTTTGAAGCTGGAGGCGGCCGTTGTAGAAAGACACCGACCGTTGAGTTGAGCATTATGGCGCCGCAGAGAAGGAGAGACCCTCGAAGTCCGTACTCGTTGAAGAGGACATGCGTGAGGGGGGAGAAGATGATAGCTCCCAATGAAAAACCAGCATGGCTGATCCCGGAAGCCATTGCCCTGTATTTAAGGAAGTGTTGGTTGATCACCACGACGAACACCAACAAGAAGCTTATGCTTGTACCTACAGAAGAAAAAAGAAAAATACATACATATAAATACATCATATCTATAGGATGTCATGTAATAGACCCTTTCCGAAATTCACTCTGGCCACTGTGATCACTATCATCATCATCTGAAAAATGGCATATGTGCCATACCAATGGCGGCTTTCTAATTACTGATGAAGGAACATGTTGAAGATACTCCTAAGCTGAGGATTCGAGGCCTATATATTCAAGACGTTAGCACGTTGGGAAACCGGAATTGAATGCAAGCGCTGCGTAAGTGTTCATTTCTCTAATTCGAGCCCAGTGAACCTGTTAGTGGCAAAAAATCGACTTCGAAACCCCTTGACTTTTACAGCTTTATCAAGGCGTCTGTCTGGGTTGGCGCTTCGTTCTGACTGGTTGCATCGTTGTGGGAATCGACACTGGAAGAGATGGTCCAGAAAAACCTGTATAGCGAAAAGTTTATTCTCGTCTGCCGTTGACATGCAAAAGTGACGGTGCCCGATAAAATACTGCAGGCTACGGGTTCATTGCCGCCATTCGTATGGCAAAAGTAAACCGCCATTTCAGCCACCAGATGGCACTGAATTTCGGAAAGGGTCTATTTGTAATTATTTGTAATATTTTGCCAGTGAAATACTGCATGCATATTGACCTCTTTTTTATTTTGTTTTTAATATTTCAGGGTAAATACGACCAGGTGGGAGGGAGGGAGGGAGGGAGGGAGGGGTGGGGGGACCCAGAAAAAAAAACGGAATTTATTTTCACGCAAATTGCGGACTTTAATCTTACACGTTCAGGTGTTCAGATCTGGTCACCTTCGCCGTGCTCTCCGCATGATGCGACGCACGTGTCGGGACATTTCTTTATATGCTGAAAATATATTTTAAACTTGTTGATTTCAATGCGCCTCAATGTTTCTGCGGTGTTATTTTTTTTTCAACACTTTAACATGGGCAAACAATTTTATTTAGATAATTTCTTCTTTTTTTTTTCATTTGGGAACACAAAAAATTACGCGGGTGGGGCAACACCTCCTAGATAAGAAAATCTAAGTGCTGAATTTCCCTGCGTCGCTAAACAAGACCAATGTAGGCCACAGATTGGACACAACTAGGGCGTCGGCATTCGGCTTGGAGACGCGTTCTCACAGATTGGACGCGACTCCTAGCCGAACGGTGGCGCTGTAGCCGTGTACAATCTCTGGTCTACGGCGGCCTTCTTTAAAGGGCAACTCCGGTTCATATACTTTCGATTTTGGGATTATGACTTTTTTTAGCGCAGTCAGCGTCTCTGAATTACAATTTGTAATTTTTTTTTTGCGTTATTGTGCGTAGTTTTAAATATATCGACTCCTCAAAGTTTTGTTTGGGGCGCGGCCGACAAAACTGAAACTAGCCGCTCGAGGCTCCGGCAACACTAGAAATCAGCCGCTATGAGGACGTGACGTCAGGATCGTTCTCGTTCAACGATTACGCAGGCCAAGCGGCACTCTGTTGCGCTAGCCGTCTAGAGATAGAAGCTAAGCTGATTTTGTTTTAATTCTGTATAGGTGGTAGTTATCCAGCATATGTAGCAAGACTTAGTGCGTATACCCAAAAGCTAGCGACTGGAAAACCCGTTAACTCGTTCGGTGCCGTACTCGGCGGCCGCCGTCGTACGTGCGCTCTGCCGTACTCGTCGCTTTTATACCCAAAAGCTATCGACTGGAAAACGAGTGAACTCGTTCGGTGCCGTACTCGGCGGCTGTCGCCGTGCGTGCGGTCTTCCGTACTCGTCGCTGGGCCTAAAATGTCATCGGGGCTCCGTGGATGGGGCGGCGTTGCTCTACGCCGCTCTGCCAGGGACGTACAGTGGGGCCCTCTCGCTTTCGCGCTGCGGGTCCGTCCCAGACACAAAGCTTTGAGGCTCTCAAGCGCAAGCCGCGGCGCCCGAACACACGTGTGCTGGGCTGTACACGCCTGTTTTTTCGTTCTTTTTTCCTCGGGCTCGTAAAGGCCGAATTTGTAAGTTACGACACTAAATTACCACATAAGTTCGTCTAGGTGGTGAATCTAATTCGTAAAAATATTAAAAAAAAAAAATGCCGCATTAAAAAAAAGTTCTACAGGCACACATTTTCTTCTCAAAGCCAGCAAAAGTTTTTGTGGGTGACAGTGGAAAACAGAGAATGTTAGCAAGGTGAGAAGAACACTTTCTTTTCTCTCTTTCCCTCAAAGAAGCGCACTTTACACTGCTCGACCGCGCAACGGGAGCGCCCGTCCGAACCGGAGGAAAAAAAAAAAAAAAGAGAACGAACCTGACGTCACGGCCCAAGGTACTTTAGGCCCGCTTCAGACGGGGCAACTTTTCCAGCAATTTTGAGGTTGCTGGCGGGTTGTTCCCTAGCTTTCCCTAGATCGACGCGAATTGCTGAGATCGGGTCCGGCTCGAACAAGCGAGCAACTCGGAGCAATTTGAAGACGGTTGAAGCGGCTGCAGCCCATTAGAGACGCGACATTTTCACGTGACACCCCTGTGGTGGTGATGATGACAGCTAAAGACTTAGTTCTGGTTTGGGATGGATCGTTTTCGGAAATAAACAGTTTCAGAAAAAATGAGTTAGTGTTCTCAACGCCGTTCAAAGATATAAGAACGCATTTTTAGCGCGTAGCTGGGCGTCTAAATAATGAAAGAAGAATCAAAGTTAATGATGATGTTGGCAAGTCGGAGCAATTCGGTTGCTGCGTGTGAACGCGGGCGGCCGGTGTTGCTGGTGTTGCGACGTCAAATTGATGGGTGAAATTGCTCTGTCTGGAGCGGGCCTTAGCGATCGGCAACCCGCTGGCCGCCCGCTAAGGAGCAGCGGCTCGCTGCAGGTCGCATTTTTATTATCGGCATGAGTTGCGAATGCGGCGTCAACCTGCCGTAATATTTTGGCTGGAGTCGTATTTTGTGTCACTACAGCGATACGAGTAATTTATTTCATTTTGAGTTTTGGCCGGAGTTGCCCTTTAATGACACAGAAAAGCACTTAGGCTTTCTCCTCTAGAGGGTGTTTGGCGAGGTCGGGCGAATAGGTTAGGGTGGGGCGCGGGGACAATGCCGTTTTTGGTCAAAATCTGAACCCTAAGAGCGTTGTTGGCAGATTGGCAACCCGAGTCGGGGTGAGTCTGGTTCGCCCACCACGACAACGCGCTTTCTCGCATAACGTTCGGTGTTAAGAGGTTTTGACTAAATACAGCATGGCGCCCATGCCTATTCACCCCTCCTCGTCCCGTGTTACTTTTTGTTGTTTGCCCGGATAAAAAAAAAGTTATAAAAAGGAAACGGTTTGCCGATCTGGAAGAGGTAAAACGGAAAGCGGCAGAAGCACTGAAAGGCATCAACATCGACGAGTTTGTAGGCTATTTTGGGCATTGGAAGCAACGTCTCGACAAGTGCATTACATTAAGCAGACAGTACTTTAAAGGTGACGTCAATCGGAATGAGGGCTGTGCGCGCGTCCTTCAAAAACAGGATGTTAGGTGGTTTTGTGGTGGTTGTAGTTGTAGATATAAGGAGGTTGGTTGAATAAAATTCTTATCTGAGACGTGTCTACCCCTGTTACCTTTTCTTCCAGTGTAAAACAATTTTCTCCTTCCCCTCCAGTCTCGGGTTAATATCATCATGGTAAACTTCCACCAGCTCGCCTGCGCACTGACTGTAATTTTCATTTGAACTTGTATAAATACACACATAAGTTTGCAAAAATAAGTTCCGTTTTTTCTTTTTTTGGGAAAAAGGGGGGGGGGGGGTCATTTCTGGAATGTACTTTGAGAAAAAAATATTATTAAGCCTTTGTTTAAGGCACACAAACATTTATTGAGTTTTGTTGATGGAGAGTTGTTTCGTACTAACTTTGGGGGAATCTGTGAACAATTTATTTTCAAATATTGTGAATGCACCGTTATCGCTGACCGCTTCTTACCGTGAATGACGCCGAGTAAGACGTTCAGATAGGCCACACTGTTAACCAAGAAGCACGCTGCGACGGCGAGGGAGCCCACGATGCAACCGCCCATTGTCAGCTTCCAGGCGGCGATGTGCCTGGCCAAAAGTCCAACGAAGGGACCTGGAATTGACATTCACAATTGGCACACATTCGTGTGCTGGCGAATGGCCGCAACATGCATGCAGCGTTTGCAAGTTTAATGGTTCACTAGCCAGCGTCATTGCTTGCGTCCACATTTGACACGGTTTCGCAACACTCGGCACAGACTAACGCACGCAATGTTTGTCATTTTTGAGTACAGGGCCAGCGTAATTGCGTGCAGTCACACGTGACGCGGCTTCGCAATTGCTCGGCGCAGTCTAGCGTGAATTCGCACTGAGTAAAGCAAAATGCATTAATATCGGTTCACGAAGTTGGGTCGGTGTGTGATCGACCTCGTTGCGGGCACTTTTAACCACATTTTTCGCTAAAAAAAAAAATTAAACCAATAAGTTTGTTCTTTAGTTACAGTCAAAAGATTTCGCCTTATGTTACCTGGTGTTTCTTCTAACGGGCTATAAAGTGTTTCTTTTTAAATTTGAATGTGTTTGTAGGTTTAAGGCTTTACCAGCCAGCGTCATTCTTGCATTAAAGGGACACTCGAAGCACTTTCTGCGATAGCCCATTTATGGTAATTACTCAATCTAAGTCTGTCCCTATTATTCTAAGCATTCTAAAAATTAAAAAAAAATGAAATAAAAACTTTGATTCATGCATGGTCGATGTCTCTATTAAAAACTGTATCAATAGATAGATCACCTCGGAACCATCGCGGACACCCGTCGCACAAGGTAAAACAGACTCTGCCTTTCCTTGTGCGATGGCGTCATCTTGTGTCGGTCTTTTGGTACGGATTTTAATAAAGAAATCGGTCACGCACGAATGTAATGCTTAGATTTTTAGGATGCCTAGAGCTCACAAATTGATTTAGGACCATAAATAGACTATTTGCTGAAAGTGCTTTAGTGACCCTTGAAGGCCCGTTCACACTCTTGCGACCTCTTAAACCTGGGTTCCTTAAAGGGGTGCGGAAACATAAATTGAAATGTTCAGATTTCGTTCGGAAATGAGTCAAGCATGACGGATAATAACCGTAAATGATAATCGCACGTTTGTATTTTGAACGATTGGCTATATTTTTCGTTCCAAACGGTGCACTCGAGCAAGCGCTCGAAGAGAAGCGAACGGAGAGCGCGATGCGTCATGGGATATCCGGCGCAAACAAAAACAGAAAGAAAAGATTTCCCGCGTTCGTGGAGTAGCAAAGCAGACGTGGTTATGAGCTTTGCCCTTGGTGGCGTTGTCAGCGTTGTGGTGGTGTTAATAGCGTCAGCGAGTTACAACCGAGCCGTTCGCAGTACCCGTGGGGTGACGAGTGTGTGGCTGGTCCATGGAGCACGTAGCTTCCACAACACTGTCAGCTTAGGGCTGAACGAGGTGGGGAAAGCGACTTTTGTTCGAGTTTTGAGGGACGGGCTAATCTTCTAGGGGGAGAATGGTTGTTTCCGGTTGCACGAACGAGGGTCCGAGAAAGAGAGGAGTCCTCCCTTTCCGTCTTCTTGGACCGTTTGGTACAATACGCGATTTGTGAGTTCAGGAGGAAAGCTAAGAAGGAAAACGTTGAAATGCCAAAGGGCGACGCTGCTCCGAAGGAAACTGCTACGTCACGACTACGTAGCAGTTTCCACAACGTTGCTAGACTACCTCCCAAATAGGCTCCGCATGCATCCACCAGGTGCACATTGAAAGTCGTTTATTTAGCTTTAAAATTAGTTTTCTTGTGCTTTTCAACGGAAGACTGGTGTTTTTCAGGTTAGGGTGCGACATGCAACACATTAAATAAAAAAAATGAGCGCTGAAATTTCGTTTCCCTACCCCTTTAAAACTTCTTAAACCAGAGAACACACTGACGCCATCTATTGGGAAGCAGGGTAAACTCGGCGGTCCGGCGTTATTTTTATTTTTATTTTTCGCGCATTATCCTTTCTTTTTTGGCTCGAAAAACTTTTGTCAATGTTATAAACGAGTCTTTCTATGGGTATTACGCACATTTGACCTCGGAAATCCCGCAAAACCTTCGCTCTCGTGAAATGCAGTTCCAGGGTCACCGCATAGATGGCGCCACAACGCCAGTGTGTCTCCTCATTCTAAAAATATTGAAGAAGTTTTAAGAGATCTCGTCTCTCTCAGTCGTACTCGGTCGCAAGAGTGTGAATGGGCCTTAAGACCGAGGGTAGTAAAAGGCGGGAATATACACAAACACATAGAGTCATGGACAGTCTATGTTGACCCTGAAGGTCACGGCTCACTTTGTGTGTCCTCTGCATGAGCCCCCCTTGACACACGTATATGTGTAAAGGACGACGAACGCAGTGGCATTGCGCCTTCAACTCTGACTGATTGGTTCTATCGGTGCGTGGCGTCGAATGCGCTCGGACGCTGAAAAGAAGCGTACACCTTTCCAGCGTCGACCACCTGCAGCGTGTATACTAACGCTTCCAAGGCACTTTGACGGCCTGCAAAAATCTGTTTCTCAACTTATCGCGCTGCAATTCACTACAGAGGTGCGAGCAAGTGGTGCAAGTTTACAGTAAAAAAATCTGAGTGAACTTACCTCGTTCAAAAAAAAACCAAAAAAAACAACAACAACAACCAAAACAGAATCCTGCTTTGGGAAATCTATACGCGCCGCCACTCCGCAGATGGTGCACGCGTATTGAGAAGTGCTACCGACAGATGGCGTACGCCGCGTTCAAAAAGCGCCAGCCGATCCGTCTTTTTTTTTTTTTTGACTTTGTTTGTTGTTATTACCCGATTCGGCCGGCGGTTTCTTGACGCCGTGCGCGTCATCTGTCGGCAGCACTTCTCACTACGCCTGCATCGTCTGCGGAATGGCGGCGCGTAAATTCACCGTAACATTTTTTTTTTCTCGTTTCAACGAGGCAAATTTATTCCTTGATTTTTTTCGTTGTAAACTTGCAGCACCTGCTTGCACCTTTGTAGTAAATCGCAGCAGGGTGCGTTGAAAAGCCGATGTTTGCGGGCCGTCTAAAGGGCCTTGAAGGCGTTAGTTCACACCAGAGCCGTATATGTGGAGAGTGTGGCCATTCGTTTGGTAAGTGTAGGAGACAAATGAGGAGGCGCCATTGGCCGAAAGCGGGCTGGGCGTGTTCCAGGGTGTCTTCAGAGATTCGAATGTGACCAACCAGAAGCCGGAAATAATACCCTCGTGGTGGTCGCGGGAAACAAACCTGATAACTGCATTAGAGTAACTCTCGATGACTGAAAATATGGTACACGTGATGTTTCAATCACGCTCATTCAAAACGATGGTGGAAGAGTGCGACTAGCTTAACGATCGACACAATCCGTACGCCAAGCGCCGAGGGCCGGGAATCTGCCGTCCGAGCGGTCACACTCTGTCCGAGCAAAACAGGGTTGAGCGGCGCATTCGTTTCTTACATCTTTCTACATGATCATGATCAAAACAACACGTGCACCCTATTTTCAACCACAAAGAGTTACTACAATTCACTCTTACGTGCTTATTGAAACCAGTTACGAACATAGACCTTTGATCAGAACGGTTTCTCGCTACCACCGCTAGGGGATTCTTTTCGGCTTCTGGTTGGTCAAAAGAGCATGCCAAGGTGGCCAAGCCCTCTTTCCGAGTCTGGTGCACGTCCTGGCTCTGCCCGCGCCTCCCATTGACCAAACTCTCTACATATACGGCTCTGTTTCACACACGTTGTAGACTAAAAATGCTGAGTCACCCGGCTGTGACCACATGCCCGGCGGGACTGATACTCGACAGAAGAGAGCGACTGGAGAACGAGCTCCCCAGCCCAGTAAACAAAGATGGCAGCGTGCAAAAGAAAACGGCGATTATCGGAACGGCCCGCAGGAAGTAACATTTAGGTCTTAATGAGACTCCAGAAGGACACTGCGGATTCATTCTGAACGCAAGGATACTAAGACGATCGAGACAATTACGCTCATATCAGTTGGCAAAAAGGACAAGTACGCCCACTGCCAGGTGGCCGAGTAAGCGCGTGGAACTCGCGGTGTCTGGATACAGCGTGTACGTTCCGGTCATTTCCGCCCCGAGGGCAGATGCCAATCGCAAATCTGGAAGTGCGAACACGTCGACCGTGCACGAAGCAACAGCCACTGCCCAACATCGTTAGCAAGCCTGACAGGAACGATACCCCCTCAAGTAAACCGATACTCCTATAAAAAAAAATGAAGTGTCTAATAAACATATCAGGACTCGCATATGTTATATAGGATGCATATAAGTTACGCTATCATATATCTATTGGGCACATTGGAATTTTTTTTTTCACCACGTCTCTGGACTCCTGTAACTGCAATTGCCTGCAAAGTGAAACTGTATTTTTATCGCAGTGAGGCAGCCTTGGAAGAACGCGTTTTCTTTTTCAGTAGCGTATTTACGTACTCGTTATTTATTCGGTCAATGCTTTTATTTCTATTTTTGCTTTTTCAGTGTTCTAACATGAAGGCTTCTATGGTTCTTTTTGGAGACTATCGGAAAATAAAGTGTTATTATTATTATTAATAAATACGAAAGCGCAACCCATTTTCGTCACTTTTTTATTTTATTGACTATCAAATTAGGTTAATCGTTACTTTTAATTACAATAGATCACGTTTTAAGTTTCTTTAATGGGATAACCACTGTCGGCACCTCGCAGTATTCTACAAATTTAAGAAACAAAGGATAAAGAATTACATGAAGTCACTCTGAGACAGTTCAGTTGTTGTAAAAGTTTATATCTCATTTTTATTGCTGCCGAATAATAATACTGGAAAACAAACTACAGCGAAGATAACGGAAAGGTAACGTTAGTCGGTTTTGGGAAGCAACTGTTATAGAATTTCGTTGCGTTCGCTGGATGGTAACGACTATTTCTAATGCGTTCGTTTTTTTTTTTTTTTAATGAATTTGCGAGTAACGCCATTTTGTTGATTATTTTTCGGTAACGGGCGCAGCGCTACAGTAAGGTAGTAATCTGGGCGAATTAATAAACTTTACTCGTAATAAAAAAAAAAAAAAAAAAAAAAACGCGCTAAAAGTTTTACAAAGCGTATACAAACACACAAAAAAGAAACCGGCATTTGACTCACAATGCTTCTTCTTTTCTTATAATTTTATTTATTATATTTTATTATTATATATGAATCTGTATTTCGTGCGTTGTTTTTTTTTTTTTTTTGTATCTCTCCCGTTGTTATGATGATATCGCTGCCTCGCGTGCTGATAACGGCTCGCTTTCTGCAACTAGATCAAGGCAACAAAATAAGCCAAACGAGGCACTCGGAAGGATTCTTTGCTATTGTAATGGGCCTCATTTAGAAATGCCCCGATTAAAATAGGTGTGCACACGATAAGGCTGAAATCGGCGCTAATGGACAAGGCGTAACATTCGAACTTGGAGGTCTGGAGCCCAACAGTTAAAGGCCATTCCCTCTCTCTACTCCAACGCAAAGAATCCGCTGAGTTTTCTAGGAAATGCAATCGCAGGACGAGGGACAAGGGCAAAGGAAATGATGTCTGCGGAAAGGAAGTGAACTTCGTTGTTTTATTGACCCACACGAATTCTTTTTTTGAAGCGCACGAAAGTTGTGTGAGACAGGAAAACATGGAGGTGAAGGCAAAGTAACCTGAACAAGTAGCAAGCAGTGGTTTCGTTTTATACAACCCAAATAACTCATGCAGGCATATTAAAAAAAAAAAAAAAGCGGAAAAAAACGCAATGTTTTGGCTTTTTTTTTTCTGCGTGTGCTACATTATCGGTTAATCAAACGAGCAAAGCAAATGTGTGACGTGGCCTTGCGATGTAGTATCTGCGTTCGTATTTATTTGATTGCTTTCCGATGTACGATGAAACGAAATGTAGCAATTACGTTTCGAAAGAAAAAAAAAAACAGAACTGGATCGCTTTAAATTGACTGTAAACAGGCTTTGAAGTTAATAGGTTTGTCGTCAAGGGACGCAGCAACCAGTTGAGAGGAAAAGATTTTATTCGTGACTTGTCCAATAAACTTACGAGAACTTACATACATTGAGGAGTCATATATGAGGTTTCTAAGTGATCTTGTCATATTTTTTTAATGTTTATTGGACACATTCGCATAATGTTCTGCACTTAGAGCAAGACATGGCAAACACGCGTTTGCTGAGATAACGTCTCCCCGAGGCAATCGATAGGTAAATATGGTAAGAAAAAGCGCACCTTGATTCAGCAACACAAACTGTACTATTCCCCCCCCCCCCCCTCCAATTCTCCCCCTATAAGTGTACATTAAACACAGTTCCCAAAACAAAAATCCCCGTCCAGTTTTTTTTTTAGAGAGGTATACCTATGGAACTTTATACTGAATGTCGATAAATGCACGATCAAACATTCGTTTAAGTTTTAATATACTTGCGCTGAGTGCCATGTTAAATCCGTTAAAGTGCTATACAGATTAACTCAATAGTCAGTTTTGTAAGAAAACATTTATATAGTAAATAAAAACATATAAAATTAAGTTTTTTCGTAACACAATTTCAGCCCCGGGTTCTACGTAGTTAAACCCAGCTCATCAATTAGTTAAAAGGTTGAAACAATTCGGAGCGCAAGTTCGTCTGCTTTTTGCACAGGTGTTGCGACGATGTTAGAACGCTGAGCTTCGATTGGCTGATCGAAAAATATAGTGGATAGACCTTAAGGCATCTAGCATTGAGGTCTACCCACTATCCTTACAGTCAAAGCCAATCAAAGCCTCGGCGTCTTTCTGACGCCACCACAAGTCCTGCGCACGAAGCAGGCAACTTGTTCTCCACATAGCCCAAACCCCTGCATTCGGGGAGAAACCGAGGGAAAAAACGAGGCGAGAGAAGCACGAGGAGGTTAGGATGTCGAGCTCTGACTGGAGTGATTAGTGGGTCGTAAAGCTAGATGTATTTGTCTTTGCTCTTTCTTCAAACGCTCTCGAACGCCGTACGCTGGCGTTCTATGCTCGCGTTCGAACGCCTTAGAAGAGTGAGTAGAGACGAAGGCAGCTAGTTTTACGTCTACCCCACTAACCATTCCAGTCAGATCTCGGTGTTCTGACGTCCTCACCGCGCTCTGGTGTGATCATCTGCCTGAGTGTCTCGACGCGGAGATGCGAACGTGTTGTGAATGGAATAATGCGGTTTGAAAGAGAACAAAATCACGGTCAAGGACAAACGACCGCTCGCGCTCGACTCTCGACAACCAGCTGGCAGAGGCAGTGCGTCGTCTGCCCTTGCCCTTCGGGTTTTTTATAATTTCAAACTTAGATAACTCTGTCTCGTCGAGCCTGTTTCCCGGAAAAAAATAAAATACAAAAAAAAGCGCGGTACAGTTAAAGGTGTAAAAACAAGCAGTAGTACAAGATGTCGCCGAAGAAAAAAGAAAGCAAAAAACGTCACAGCGTTTTATCGACGCACAAATGAACTGAGCATCGCCGAACCCGCAGTCTCAACCCAAACTTACTCTGCGCTGTAGCAATCCGGACCGACACCAAATTTTTAGGGATTGTCGTTATGTGTATAAAAAAAATTGATGTACATTTTTTAATCTTTTAGTGAGAAGCTTGGTGGCTGACAAAAGGGCATGAATGCACGGAGGTGAATGACAAGCGTTGTCGGGAAGTGACGCCATTTTCCAATTGAAGCATTAAAAAAATCATAACTTTTAAGTAAAAAGACGGCACTCTCTGAAACTTTGGCATTTGGTGCGCACCGCTATACTTCGTTTCGCCTTACTTCCGAGCGCTGACGATGCTGTAAGCCGAAGGGCCAATCAAACAGCGCAAAAAGCGCAACGTCATGGCGTGCTCTTTACGCTTTATAGGACTAGCCGGTGGAGGAGCACGCACAGAGAAACGGCTAATACCGGCTAGTCCTATCAAATGAAGAGAGCACGCCATGACGTTGCGCCTCTTTGGCTGTTTGATTGTTCCTTCGGCTCATAACATCGACCGCGCTCGGATCTAAGCTAAAACGAAGTATTGTGCTTCATTTTTGGTGAAATCTGAGTGTTTAGATTTTTTTTTTTTTTTTGCGGGGGGGGGGGGGGGGGGGCGTTTTATAAGACATACTAGTGCTTTGGGAATAAATAATGAAGGTACCTGCAGTCATATAGCAGACGATCGACAGGTTGACGGGCCATGACGCTTGCTCTCTCGAAACGCTGAACGTCTCCAATATTCCCACGTACACGACACCGGCGGAACGCACTAATCCGAACCCAAACACGTTCATCCAGCAGCAGGCGGCTGCCACCGCCCAACTCCTCGGCGAGTCCATCACCGTCGCTGGCTCACATCAATGCGCGCACCTCTTTCCCAGGATTGCCATCGTTGTTGTCGTGGGTAAGCCCCCGCGAGACAGTTTTTATTTGGTCGTTGTCCCGCTTCGGCTATCTCGTCGCTCCACGAGCGCTCATGCTCTCCCCTCATCAAACTCACACGTCTTATCAGTTACCTGACGGAGGGCGGGCCGCCCTTGGCTGCCGCCGCGTAACAAACCGCAGTGGACGCTACGAGTCGGTGCAGCCAATCAAGCGTTGCGAACGGATCACGTGACAGCGCCCAGCGCGTGACCGGGTCCCACCCGAAGGTCAACGTGACGCTTAACGCGAAGTTGGATTGGCTTTGTCGGTGTTCGTGGTGGCGGCCTCCGCGGCAAGTGGAACGGAGGGCGGCGGAAAGCGTCTCTCATCCGAAATATGGTGAAAGAGAACCTGTTCTGGTGTTCCCCACCTCGTCGTTCCGTTTTTAGCCTTCCGAGTTTCTCGTGCAGCGCGGCGACCTTGCGATTGAGGAACTCTTGGAGTCGCCTTCGGAGAACGGTGCTTCTTTTTCTCGCAAAAACGCCCACAACCATAGTGAAGCAGTGAGGCCTGTCAGGCCTCCAATCAGGAAGAATAGGCCCTGGTAGTTTCCGAGTGTGTCCCTAAAGTAACCTAAAAAAAAGAGAAAAAAAAAAGAGAAAAACATAATGGGAGTTTTCGATTGAGGAGTTGGAACGTATCACTATTTGTGTATACGTCATTTCACCTCAAGCCCAGACGCAGTCGATGCTAGGAGCTAATGGGACGAAGAAGAAAGCATCAAGAGTGCACCATCATGGTGTTTGTGATGTTCCTGTATGTGTTACATTATCGCTGAACCAATTATAAACAAAAAATAGCCGGTGACTCGCGCTTTTGACGCCGCTTGATTCGTACCATTAGTTCGCAGCGTCGGCTGCGTCTGCGCATGAGCAAAAACAAAGTATAGTGCTGTAGTAGAGTAGAGAGTTGGGCGAGTTGGCAGTTATTGAACATAGTTACAGTTGCGCACACAGGGACAAGGACAGAGAAGAGGAACACGTAGACGACAGACAGGCTTGTCTGTCGTCTACGTGTTCCTCTTCTCTGTCCTTGTTTCCGTGTGCGCAACTGTAACTATGTTCTATAGTGCTGTTTTTTTTTTGTCTGGATTTTATGACCATCTCTAAAGTGCCCTCACAGAAGGGCATGAGCTGTTAGTGGACACGCAAAAGTAAAGGCGATTATTATCAACGTTGTTTATAGCTTTCTGACCTCCACACACAAAAAAATATATATTGCTAGAGATATGGTATGATTAAGACGAAGGCGAACGGACGATGGAAATAGGCCAATTGGTAAGCATTTGCATTATATATAACGCAATGGGGAGAAATGGAATTCCTTGGCTGCCGCCTTGTGTTTACGACCTGTCATACATTACACGATATATTTCGCGTAAGATAGTGCTCATATGATAGTAATATTCGCAATTTCCGAGAAAAAATATAAAAACAATTTTTATCACGGCCAAAATGCGAGCAGAAGAAATACCTACAACAACATAACAATCAATAGTCAATCATAACTTAAAAACCGGAGGGCGTGGTCTATTATATTATGTGTCTTGCTTCCTGATTGGTTCTTTGTTGTTCTTATTTGGATGATGCCGCAATCCCGTTGGCTGCGGCGCGATGATGAGATTCTCAGTACTTGCCACGTCCTGGGGTTCTTAAGCTGTAGATGACAACGGGCACTTTTTTTTTTTTGCTGAACCTAAATGAAGTTATTCCTCGCAACACCATGTGAATTATTGCATAAAGCGTATACCTCTTGATGAAAAAGAAACCCACCAATCAGCGCCGGTAGCGTCATAAGTGGAACTCCGACCAAAAGGCACGCGGTGCCGAAGCAGACGCTAAACTTGCCGACGCCCACAAGTTCCATGAAGAGCACCGGTGTAATGATGAAGGTGGCGCCATTGCACCACCCCGCCACAAGGGACAACACAGCCTGAAGGTAAAAAGAATAGCAGAGCGGCATCAGGAACAGTGACGTGGACCAGAGCAGAAAGCTCAAGGCCATCATGATGCTCCTCTTGAGCAAGCCTTTGTCCGTGATCCAGCCAGACCCTAACCTCGCCAGCAAGTCTGCCATGGCGTAAAAGAAAAGGAGAAATACGGAGTCCCACTTGGAGATGCCTCTGTCCATCGCCAGGTCCACAATCACGGTTAAGTAAGTGGACATGTTTATCACAACCTGTGCCTGCGCCGCGGTGATCAGGTAGAACTTGCGAAGCCACAGGAAGGACAGCAAACCGGTGCTCGTTGTCACCAAAGTGGTCTTGAATACTCGATCAGGTTGTTTACGCAACAGACTCTCTTTCACCGCGCACTTCTCGTCTGGTTCACCCGCTTGTCGCAGAGCCTCCGCTTCATTCTTTTCCAGAAGATGGCCGGTGGCATCAGCGTCGGCGAGACGTGTGCAAACGGTGAGGGCTTCCTCTTTGAAGCGGTCATCCATCTCACTTGCAAAGCCTACTTCGTCTTCGAATAAGTTGGTGCTTTTCCCTGAAATGTCCTGCCAGGTCATCCCACGCGTATTGTCATTCCTTGGGCAATTCAGACGCGTTTCAGCGATATTAAACGAGGCAACTGGCTTTCGTGGTGCACTGCGCGGCAGTCGGTGAAGGAGTGCACCTGCAGTCGCGTTGAGCATTACGCTGCCACAGAGGAGTAGGCTTGCCTTTGTTCCATACTCGTCCAAGAAGAACTGTAGCAGTGGCGGGTAGAGGAAGCTACCCAAGGTAAAGCCTGCATTGCTAATGCCGGATGCGACCGTTCGGTAGCGGCAGAAGTGTTGGCTAATGACCGTGTTGCAGAGTGTCAAGCAGGCTATGCCGCAACCTGCAAAAAGGGCAAGAGAGGGTACAGCAATAAATGAGAATATTAGAGAGTTAATAGGAAGCCCCAAAGCTTTGGGTCGCCTGAGCAACTTGGGAGGTCGCAGCGCGCAAGCGCAGAACTTATACGCTTGCTCAGTGCGACGTCCCAGACTACTCAGGGGATCCGAGGAATTGGGGTTTTTCTTTTCTAAAACTCTCGAATAGCACCCTACCTACTCCTCCCCCAGGCTTTAAGATGTACACTGCACTTCTTATACACCAGTTACACGCGCACCCTTAATCGCATTAGATCCGACTGAGGTCAAACTATACAGCCCGACGGCATCTTAAACCGCAGTTAATCCCAAGTATGGTTAGCACTAAACAGCAGTTACTCTTAAAGTTACTCTTAAACTTAAACCGAGGTTACTCTTAAGTATGGTAAGCAGTAGACCGCAGTTACTTTTAAAGTTAATTTTAAGCTAAAGCCGCAGTTACTCTTAAGTATGGTTAGCAGTAAACCGCAATTACTCTTAAAGGTACTCTTAAACTTAAACCACAGTTACACTTAAGTATGTTTAGCAGGGCCACTAAACAAATAAACTGCGCTTAGATTTGTCGGCACTTCATACCCCGATTTCCCCCTGGGCGCCTGCATCACGGTGCTTATTGTTGGGTGGGCTCATCATGGCGATCGTTACATTTCAAAAATGCGACTTTCTGAGCTCGAGCTACGGCGTCGGGAAGCTGAGGCAACGGCGCTCTGCTCTGTCGCGGACTGCTTTTACATTTCCGGGAAACTAAGACTCGTTTCCCACAGTTCTCGATAAAGCTGCAGATATCTGGCAGCAAGGATTTTAAGCCCCAAGCTCAAGTGTCATTACTCTGCAACGTAGCCTAGTTGGTGACTCTACTTTACCCTTGTTACAATGGGATGTTAGAGCGCTTAAATGTACTTCTTTTTTAGGACGCCTTTCGTTGTAGCACCCAATGTCATCAGCACGCGTTCACAGAACAAATGCGAAGAAACAGCCGTCAATAAAATACTGCCACTGGACAAGTCAATGTCTAGAGCTCGTTACGGGAGGAGTCCTTTTCCGCGTTCCACAACCAACTGGGGCCCTAATCCACACGACGCGACGGGTCGAAGGGACACCGCCGTCTGTTCGTCTCGCCATGTATACACTCTAAAGAAGTTTGTGCGTCTACATTCACGCACAACACTCGGAGAGCCAATTACCGCAACGTACGGAGGCAGGTCAGCGAATGACATTGCCGAAACATATTCTTAGAGCAAAAAACGCAGTTTGAGTTGTGACTTTAAGCAATGCAAAACGTCACGCTTGCATTGCCTAATGTCACAACTCAGACTGCGTGTTTTGGTTTAAACACGTGTTTCGGCATTGTCATTCGCTGAGCTGCCTCCGTAAGTTGCGGTGATTGGCTCTCCGTGCGTTTTGCGGGAAAGCAGACGCACGGGCCTTTTTATAGAGTGTAGATTAGGGCCCCAAGGAAGCGGCGGGAGCAAAATGGTCAGTTATTACATTAAGCCCTTGAAGGGGCACTGCAAGGCGTTTCTGGCCTTTTTCTTCATTCGCATCACGTTCGCCCGAACTGATTGGGCCTCCAGCAACACATTAAAATAAAAGAAAGAAGTAATTTAATGTATTTTGAACACAATATAGGTGAAAGAATTTCAGAATTTTGAGCACATTTTCTATTGTTGATGACGTCCTTGGTCTGAACCAATAGAGAAATGAAACGACAACAGCGTGCAGCAACTGTTCGCGATCTCCTTAATTGTTGAAGTTAACATACAGTTATACACCAAACCGATTAACGAATGTTCCAATCAAATAATCACGCGCTTGAAAGGATCAGAAAGGGTCACGCGTGCACGTATTCATGCCAGTCCTACCTCTAGAATTCCATGTCGTCGTTATCTGACGCTTTCTAGACCAATGTCATCACTGCACGCGTGTGTTTGACATCGATACGCACGCCCTTCAAAGCAACATTTGGTTTTCTTCGTCCCTTTGCAGTGCCCCATTAAGCAAAGCGTACCTTCACGTGCGTTTCGCTTAGCGTGCTGATATCTGACCAGTTTGCACGTGACGTTCGTTTATTTCTTTTTTCGCTGCACTAGCGCGTGAAAGAGCGCCTCTGACACAAGCTCTTGGCATTGACTGTGCTACGATATCGAATTTCATTAACGGCTATTTCCTCGTATGTTTGATGCGAGCGTGTGCCGTCGGTGTCGGGGGTAGGCCATACCTGTGTGCGCGACTGCTAAGAGCGCATTGATGGCGAGCCTTCACAGTTCTTTTGCAACGCGCATTTCACACCATCAAGATTCCGAGTCTTAGCAGACGCATAATGTGAACTCGTTCTGAGCATACGCTCTGAACCGCACCCTCAAATATGATGTCCAGTGAATACCTTCCGAACAAAAGGACATTGAGGCCTTCATTGAATGCGCCGAGAAACGGAGAGAGTGGAGGAGAGGAGTGCGCGCGGAGACATCAGAACGCCGAGCTCTAGTTCGAATGGTTCGTGGGTAGACCTAAAGCTAGCTGCCGTTGTCTCCACTCCACTTGTCGAACGCATTCGATCGCGAGAGCCAAGCGCCGGCGCTCTGCGCTCTAGCGCATTCGACGAGTGCAGTGTAAACTAATGCAGCTAGCTTTATGTCTACCCACTAATCATTCTAACCAGAGCTCCGTGCCCTGGTGTCACCCCCTCTCTGACCTCCTCCCCCCCCCCCTCTCTCTCTCTCTTTCTCAGTTTTCATCGGTATAGGAATATTAATTCAACAGAAAGTCTTTTGGTAAAAGCAGAACGAACAGTACTTTATATGATACGCGAAGAAGTTTGAGGAAGAAGACACATTGATTGCTTAGTCAACGACGTTTGTGTAAACATTACTTTAAGTGTTGCCAATATTGCATTTTCAATAATGCATAACAGTGATAAGGAATCCGCCTGCCTTCATTACGGCTTCCCTTCCCATAGTGTGACAAACAAACATACATTAAAACTATAAAAAAAACTCGCGAGAAATTTACCTTATTTCCTTAAAACATCGTTTATTTATATATTTATTTATTTATTTATATAGCTTAAGGACCCCCATAGGGGGTATTACATAAGGGGTGGCACACAATAAACACCAACAAAAGAAGGGTACACATGTCACAAAAGCAAATTATGCATGTAAATTAAAACAAAAATCGTCAAGGAGATTAGTATACAAACACACACAAAAAAAAAAAAAAACACCCAAAATACCTAAAACGCGATTGCACGTATTAATTCTTTAAATTCTAATGAGTCATGAGTAGTTACAATGTTCTGGGAGAGCCCGTTCCAATCAAAGGTTGCACGTGAAAAAAATGAGTTCTGAAATGTGGTGGTTCTTGGCCTTTGGTCGCTGTACATCGAGATTGTGACCCCGTGCGATGGTTGCGGCGTACATAAAGAACGATGAATAATAATCGGAGGCACGGGCTGTAAAACGATTTGTGAAAGAGAGATAACCTAGCTAAACGGCGGCGTTCAGGGAGAAGGGGGAGGTTGGCACGGGTTCGAAGAGATGTGACACTAGTAAAAGAAGAATAATCTGTGTAAATACAACGTAATGCTCGACGCTGAACTGATTCGATCTCATTGATGAGGTAGGCTTGGTGCGGATCCCAGATAGCAGGTGCGTATTCAAGTTTAGGGCGGATAAGCGATGAGTAGGCAAGTTGTTTTATATGAGAAGGGGCCAGTTTCAAGTTGCGCCTCAAAAAGCCTAAAGAGCGATTAGCAGAGGATATGGTGTGACCGATATGAGTAGCCCAGGAAAGATCGAATCTAAGATGAACTCCGAGATACTTGGAGGAATTAGTTTTTAGGGCGAAGCTCCTTAGGTTCTAGCCTTGTCCGGCATCCGTGCTCACATTGATTGCCATCCCATCTGTCTTTTAAAAAAACAAAAAAAAAAAAAGATTGCGCAGTTGACAGGATTCGAACCTGTGCGGGGAGACCCCAATGGATTTCTAGTCCATCGCCTTAACCACTCGGCCACGACTGCGGGACGAGTAGGGGGCTCTGAAATGCGGTAGTAACTCAAGAGCTGGGGATGTCATGAATCAAACGTTGCATGTAGCCGCTCAACGTCTATACAGGAGAGGGCGCTGCGGTCAAATGCGTATATAATCCCGTTAAACCTTGCATGCATTGGCTCAACATTTATAGACGAGAGGGCGCTGCGGTCAAATGCTCAAACGCGCATATAACGAAGTTCCATACCACACATTTTCTTTCTGACATAAGCGCCACCTATGAACAAAATCAGTATCATCAGCACCACCAGAGCTTCCCCCCATTCAACATCATTCACCACGTGGAGATGCGGTCATTTTTCCAAAGGAACGCTGTTAGACTAATTTGGACCGCTATCTTCTCTTACCGTGTGTAGCGCCCAGAAAAAATGTCAGGTATGGAATTCCGTTGGCAAAGAAGCAGACAGAGACGGACAGAGAGCTCAGGAGACATCCCGATAAGGTCAACTTCCAGATGGCCACGCGTCTCGCCAGAAGTCCGGCACCAAGGGCTGTAGGAATAAGAGAGCACGAATGAATTTTGTGAAACTTACAACTACACCGTTTTTATAACTTTAGTCAAGAAACTTCATTACCCATCTTCACTACCTTGATTTAACTTGTTTTTGCTAGTCTTCCTTAGTATTGTTTCTGCGGAAAAATAATTAATGTATTAGAGTTGCTGGACGCATTGTTTGGACGTCTTAAGACATGTTACGTGTGAATTCCCGTGTCTTACAGCAGCAATATAACAGAAATAAATGCCTCGAAGGATATCGCTCCATCTAATATTAGTATGGGAACTCTTTTGTGTAGTCTACACCATTCAGTGCAATAAAGAGAGGTTTGCGAAGATCCAGGGATAGCTTGTATGAGGAGACTTAAATTAAATTAAGAACACAGCATAACACTCGGAGCTAGAAAATAGGTTAAATTAGGTAAATACTCCATAGATAAGAAATATGCAGTGTACAAAATAAAGATGTATGCTTTATTAATGCATAAAAAAACATATCGTATAGAAATAGTCATTACGATATCTGCCTTTGACGAAATACGCTACGTATCTGTCATCCAAACAATCATAAATGACAACAACAATAACAACAACAGCAACGGCAACGACAACAACAGCACTAACAGCAACCAATTCTCGAATAGATAGTTGCACTGTAAGCATTTCCGACTTCTAAACGATATTTCATCTGGCCAACGCCACATTACACACAAAGAAAGTAATACAAGTTATTCAATGAATGTTTGCGATGAAATCGCAATTGGACTTACCCATGGCGCAGTAAAACACACCGCTGAGAAATAACGGCCACGCAGCCTCTTGGCGGGTCACGCGAAATGTCCCCATGATGCCGACGTAGATCACCGGCGACGCGCGAAACAGGGCGAAGGAAAACGTGTTGATCCAACAACAGGCCGCCGCGAGCACCCAGCTTCTTGCGGAGTCCATCGTCGGCCGCTTCCTACGCCTTTGTCGTTTGGAAACGTGCGACCGCTCGAGAGGACAGTTATCAACCGCTTAATCGGTGACAGACTAAGTATATGCAGCAGAACCCCGGCCTCCCCAGTGCGAACGTTTTGCCCTTAAGGAAAGTGAGTGAGAGTACCGAAAAAAAACGGAAGCAAAAGGTGTGTTTTGTAGCTAAAAGACTTAGTATCTTTCGTGATTGAGTCTTCTATTGTGTATACCTGTACTCAAGACTCGTACGTATCGGTTGTGAGCACTGTGTGATAAGACGTATCTCGCAATGCATGGTCGTATGAGGAAACGTCGGTTCACATCTTCACGTGCTGTGGCGCTACCACCTAGAAAAAAAGGCCTGCACATGTCGTCATAACTAGTGGATCTACGCGTGCATGCACCGCAAGCACGTCGTTGTCAGATTATGACGCGTGCCCAAGCACACACAACTGAGCAAGATAGCCCCCCTTCCCCCCCCCCCCCCCCCCCCCCCCCCCCCCGGCGCCCGGTGGCATGTGGTACAAACGGGTATAGACGCTTTAAACACGCTCCAGGTTGAGCCGCCATTGCCGACCTTCTCTTTTCTTACCGAGATGCCAAACCAGTGAAGCGGGCGTCGACGAGCCTCCACAAAGGCCTACGCTGGAGAAAAGGACACGGTAGAACCTAAAGTGGCAATAACCTGTCCGGCTCTGTTAATGATAAAGTGGAACGAAATAACAGGAAACAAAAACTGAAGGTTTGTTATGGTGGCGCCCATGCACAGCTGCCTGAAAGCGTCTATAGCTCGCGTCGGCGTCGCAGCCAGCGCGTAGTACTGCGTCTCACATGCGAGTGCAACGGTGGCAGACGGCGACGCCAAGATGAACGCGTGCTGTGCCGCTTTGCGGCGTACCCTCTTCGAGCTTGCGCGGCTTTGTCGCTTGGGCGGAGTTTTGGGGATTCATTAACGATGACGTCGTGATCGGACCTTGCCTTATGTCTAGGTGGTGTTGGCTCGCCATTACCGAAGACTTTGGCTCAATCAACTTCACGTTGTTTTTTTTTTTTTTTGTTTAACAAGGAGGAGGGGTGTATTTTTGTGTTTACGTTCTATAGGATACCAGCGGCGTCTCTGGCACTCCAGAAGAGGACTGATGAATAAAAGTCACCACGTGGGTGACTTTTATTACGCGACCACGAAACAATTAAGAAATAAAGAGCATATAGGGTCATTCATTTATTTGAAATACTGCGGGCCGTTTTCAGGTATCCGCAGGTTACACACACACAAAAAAAAAACAAAAAAAAACTTAGATTGTGATACAGCGCATTTCACACACGTACACACAAAAAACAAAATGTTACAGGTCATCTTATGCATAAATACATAATGCTAGTACCCAGCAATACAAAAAAAAGAAAACAGTACACTCTTAGCAACATAGCGTAGAACTTGCAGGTGCACAAGCCATATAAAACGGTGAATAAAACGACACTATACTACGTTTCAGACGTATCCGACGCTACGAGCTAATGAAACCGGTCAAACAGCGTCAAAAACGCGAGTCTCTTGGTCTTCCTTGTACATGATTGGTCCAGCGATGATAGGGTGAAACAAAGTATAGTATGATATGCAAGACCAACATATGTGCTACAAATTAAAAGTCTACCGTCACTGTCTTTAGTGTTTCACTGTCTTGTTAATAGTGACAATGCACTTTTAGTTAAAATTATGAACCTAATCAGTCAGCCCGTCCGCGAATAATTGTGATTCGGTAACTACGATCAGCAGTTCTTCCAAGAGTTGTAATAAAGCTGTTCTTCGAAGGCTTTTAATTATTGACCAATTTTTTTATTATTTTTTTTTGTGTACAGAAGTTTCCATACCCTGAATATTGGCACACGCACTCTGAAAGAAAAAAAAAAGTAAAAAAAAAAGAGAAAAACAGAATAACACAGAGGCGTGCAGTGCCCATTATTTTGATATCGCTCTGACGCCGCTGAGCATTAGCTGACAAGAACGCCGAAGAACCAGTTACACAAATCAAAAAGCCTTACAGCAATAAGACAGACGCCCTTCGCTTCTTAAACCCTCACTGATAATAGAGTAATTGAGTATAGTCGGGGCACCGTTCAAAGCGTGCTCTCCCCCGAAAACCTCTACAACAGCGTCGAGTGCATCAAATTTATTCTGCGTCCTATCCCGCCCGTTCATCGAAAGTGGTTCCGAAGGGGCAACAAATGACGACCCTCAGAAATCGGAGTGTCATGCTGTTGGAATATTGCGCTCCTAACGATTAATAATAAAACTGCTTTAAAAAAAAAAAAAAAAAAAAAAAAAAAAAAAAAAAAAAAAACGAGATGAACGCGAATGTCGGTGTCGTCGCAGCGTCCCAACTCCTGGCCGCCGAAGCTTCCGTGTACTGCCACACTGGAGAGCGAGCTGCAGCAGAACAGGCGTCTGCCACATCACCCCAGCTGTTGGGACGCCGCCAGGATCGCGACCGGCGACAGCGTGACGCTTGTCTTCGGGCAAAATTCAAGGGGCCGCTTTTTTAAGGTCGCGGTAATCGCAGATCGGTCGGAGATGCGTTCCAGGCGCCCTCATTGTACGCAGGATGTTTGAAAAGTACAGGCACCGACAGCTTCGATACGCAGGGCAATTCGAAACTGTAAGTGACGTCACGTTATGCAACTCCCTGGGTTTCCTGCAGTCAGGGCCGGTTGCACCAACGCCGCTTACCTTAACCCAAAGCGGCGCTTTCCTAAGCCGGCTTAGCGCCCTAAACCGAGCTTAGGTAAGCACGGGTTTAAATTCCGGTTGCACCAACGTTAAGCCGGCTTTACAGACGCGCCCTAGCTAAACGCTGGATTTGCGTAGGGAATCTAGGGACAAACAGAGCAAACTAGGGAACGCTCAGAGCGACGAATACGATTGGCGGAGAGGAATCACGTGATGTAAACAAAAAAAGAAAAAAGAAAAACTGCCGTAGTAGTCGTCGTCGGCGTCTGCTTTTCGCTGTATTTCTTCGGTGAGTAACAAATTAAAGGCCTCCAAATTCAATCATTTTTTCGTTTAACTTTCAATAACAGAAGTCAAAGCTTCAAATAAACACGAATGCTCTTTACATCTTTGATTGTGTGTTTAATATCGGTTGATAACAGGATATTTTGACAGTGGTAGTAGTTTTCGTGCTCACATTTTTAGGCGAAGGAGCCATCGGGGGCCCCAAATCTCACCGAACGCGAGAAGGACACTCTACTGAAGACAAAACATCATGGATATAAGTAGGCAGGTAAGATGACTACTAAAACCAAGTCAAGCCTGAGACCGATGAAGTTCAAAACAGTGACGAACTCGCCACGGCAGCTGCGGAAATGCCCGGAAATCTTCGAATAGAAGTCATCGAGAGGTCAGGTCAAGAGTCCTTGCATCGACGGTACTCGTTGCTATCAGCAAGGTGACGGAACTGCACTGTACCGTCTTTGAACATCCGCTGCAGCCTCAAACTGACTTCAGTTTCACACTGTCGAGTTCAGAAAAAAAAAAAAAAAGAAAAAAAACTCCCACTAGTACATCACATTGTGCCGATAAGAACGGTCGCCTCTTCGCATCACCTGCCCCAGCCTGCCCCGATACAGCAATGAACGAATCTAACATAGTAGTCATTACGATTTGTCGTCACCAAGAATGAAAGATATAAAGCAAAACATTCCTAAAAAATCGCGATCACCAAAAAAGTTACGGAGGACACGACAAGGCGCAACTTTTAACTGAATTTTATTGAAAACGTGTTCCGGTATATAGTCTCAACCATCGTCACAATGACAACAAACGACAAAAGTAAAGGCAAAACACCATCACAGACCACAACTCGGAAACAACAGTATCTCGTTCTGGGGAAACGAATGAAAGATATAAAGCAAAGTATATAAAAAAAAACAAAAATGCGATCACCAAAAAAGTTACAGTTATGGAACGATACAGTTTTCTGAAGCCAAGATTCTACTCGCGAGATAAGGAAAATCCACTGAAGATTGTCTCAAAACTCAGAAAACGAAAGAAATTGAATTTTCGCTGTTTTATTACTTAAAAGCGCCGCAATCTAATGCAAACGGCAGAGGTGTCGACAATCAGCTGATCGCCGAGATCATGTACTGCCACTATTCAACGCGCTGATCAGATTGAAGGATACGCGCTGCAAGTGTAAATAAACAAGGTGTTAAATAACAATACGTTACAGCTATGCGAAAATTAGTAAGTACATACGAATAAGCTCGTTGACAGAAGAACCAACGGGAATACAGACGTGAGCCCCACAGCTTCGTACGTTTCTCGGTTAGGGCTAACACGCCCTGAAAGTGGAGAGCCAACTTGAAAACAGGGGTCGATCAACACTTCACGCGACAATATTTTGCATCCTTGTCACAATCGAAAGTCATTTTGTCGAGACTTTCACGCTGATGTAGCCTAAAACACTTTGCACAACCAATTTCGTCCACCGCGTCGACCGTGACAAACCAGCCGCCATGTTTTTAATCCAGGATTAAGAAACAACCAGAAGCGAAGCGCCCAATGTTGAGCGCTTAAGTTAAGCGTAGTTTAGTGCTAGGTTTAGCGATAAGCGAGTTTGGTGCAACCGAACGAAACCGAAACTAAGCTTAAGTTCCCGGCTAAACTCCGCTTTGCGCTAAGCGACGTTGGTGCAACCGGCCCTCAGTCGCACGTCACGTTCGATGGAGAAAACGCAACCCGGTTCTTCGGCAAGCCTCATTGCACTACGCAATGCAGAGCGCTTAAACTCTATCAGAATTTTGACGTTAGCGGGGGAAATATATGACGCAAAACATTTTAGAACATATACCCGAATCAAAAGATAAAAAAAGGGCGAAACAATTTTCACGAGCCAATGTCCTCATAAGTTTAATGACGTCAAAAAGAGAAATAATATTGTCGGCGTTGGTGGCATCTTTTTTTTCTTTTTTTTCGCGCTGAAACAAGCTTCTCAATAAGAAAGACA